CGTCTCTGCCCAAGGAAACACAGCTCGCTGCTCGTGAGGTCAGTAGCAAGTCGCATCAGGAGCATCTTCCTCAGGCTGGAAGCTGAGCCTGTGTGTGTTGGTACGGACGGATACGTACACGATTATCTAAGACACCAGACCCAAAAAAGCACTGTTGGGTGATGCAAGTAGGAGATTGGCTTTCAGCGTTGCTTGGCGGCGTCATGCCCTGTATCTCTCGATCTCGCCATTGCACGAGACTACAGTCGGTGCAGACATGAGCACGGCGGTGTCATCGCGGTCCACACACCGAATCCCCGAGCTGTGAGCCCACCACGCCGATGTTCTCTGTGTCGAAGACGGCGGGAGCTGAATGGGAGATGACCACTGGCATTACCGGCTAGCTCCGAAGGCAGGGGCCCCATAAGGCGGCCCGGAAGGGTTAGCGTCGTCGGAGCTCACGGCCTGCCTCAGGAGCCACAGCTGTCAACTGGAAGACAAGACATTGTGCTGCAGGCCGGCCTGTGTGTTTGTCCCGTCCCGTCTCTGGCTTGACACTAGCAGCGACCTCGTGGAAGACAATAGACGTAGCTGCAGGCTTGCCCCAAGCGCGTCGTGCCATCTTTTGTAGTGCTATGACGCTGCACTCGAAGCTGGCGACAAGACAGGAGAGTGAAGGAGTCGAAGTGAGGTGAACAACGGGAGGGGATGGCAGTGAGATATCTGCGAGAGCCTCACGATGGTGATCATGGACCGCGATGCTCCCGTGGGGCCCTGAGGACTTCAGGGGGAAGCACTTGTGGGGGCAGGGGGGGAGGGGACAGAGGGGCCATTGGGGTCCTTAAAGGCCATTCAGGCCATTCCATCGGGAGGAGATGCGCGTCCAGTGCCAGGCATGTCCTCCAGCCCTCGGGGCCCGAGCCAATGGAATGGTGACAATGGCCCCGATGGGTTCTTAGGGACAAGATTCGCGTAAAGTGTGGTCTGCTTTCGAAGGGAGGGATGACCGTGTCTGTTGGTGCATAGGTGGCATTTATTTCGTGTTGCCCGCGCAAGGGGGCGCTCCTACCCAGCTCTCCCGATTTAGCGGACGGGGGGACCTCACCAGAAAATTCCCACTTTGCCGAAGGGCACTCTCCCGTCGCCTCCATATTAATTGCTTGAGTCCCTTTTGAGGCTTGACAGATTTCAGCTTTCCCTTCCTCCTTCCCCAGCTTACTTCCAGGAGCCCCAGCAGCCATTCACTTTGAGCTGGTTCGGTTTGTAGAAACCAAACGCCTTGAGAGAAACCCGCCTGTTCTTGTTTCGCGGCTTCCCTCTGGTGGTTCATCTTCCCTCCTAACCCTTTTTCCTCTTCTCCAACTTTTTTTTATATTTACACTTTGAGTCTTGACTCGTCCGATCCTTAACGCAGAGCTCAGAGCTCCTGTTCTTGGAGCTTGACTCTATCCATCGCCTTTCCCGCACACCCCCCTAAGCCGCGTTCGTCAACGACTTCGGCCATCCCGTTCCGACAGTCAGTATTCTCCCCCAATCGAACATTCCTCGTCACTTTTCTACGTTTGCTGACCTTGGCCACAAACAGCCATGGCTACCGAGAAGCCGATTGTCGCGTCCGGCGCAGACGTCGGCGATGGCGTCAGACGCCGTGCCGTGCCGCAAGGCCAGTCAGTTCCCGTAACGGCCGCCCCTGAGGTCGATGACAAGAAGAAGCTTGCCAAGAAGGTAAGCGTGTCCTCTTTCCCCCTTAGAGTCATCCCCTATCGCGGAACTGCTTGACGCTGACGAAATACTTCTTTCTCCAGGAGAGCTCCTTCCTCGACCAGTGGGAGGTTGTCATTGCCCCCATCATCTTTACGGCCGTTGCCATCTTCACTCGACTCTGGAGAATCGGCCTCAGCAACATCGTTACCTGGGACGAGGCCCATTTTGGCAAGTTCGGAAGCCACTACATCAAGCATGAATACTACTTCGACGTTCACCCGCCCTTGGGCAAGATGCTCGTCGGTCTGTCTGGCGTTCTCGCCGGCTACAATGGATCCTTCGAGTTCAAGTCTGGCGAGAAGTACCCCGAGGATGTCGACTACACCTTCATGAGAGCCTTCAACGCTCTCTTCGGCATTCTCTGCATCCCTATGGCCTACTTTACCGCCCGCGAGCTGAAGCTGCGCCGTCCCGCTGTCTGGCTCGTCACCTTGATGGTACTCTGCGAAAACTCGTACACCACCATCAGCCGCTTCATTCTGCTCGACTCGATGCTGCTCTTCGGCACCGTTGCGACCGTTCTCTGCTGGGCCAAGTTCCACAACCAGCGCCACGACGCCTTTGAGCCCGAATGGTTCTTCTGGCTGTTCATGACCGGTCTCAGCATTGGCTGCGTGTGCAGTGTCAAGCTTGTCGGTCTCTTCGTTACCGCTCTTGTCGGCCTGTACACCATCGAGGATCTCTGGAACAAGTTTGGCGACACAAAGATGCCCGTCACTACCCTGGGTGCCCACGTCGTCACCCGTGTTGTCGGTCTCATCATTGTCCCCTTCCTGGTTTACATGCTTTCTTTCGCTCTTCACTTCGCCATCCTGGATCAAACTGGCCCTGGTGATGCGCAGATGAGCTCCCTGTTCCAGGCCAACCTCAAGGGCACCGAAGTCGGCAAGAACAGCCCCTTGGAGATTGCCTACGGCTCGCGCGCCACCATCAAGAACATGGGATACGGTGGCGGTCTGCTTCACTCTCACGTCCAGACCTATCCCGAGGGCTCTACCCAACAGCAGGTTACTTGCTACCACCACAAGGATGCCAACAACGACTGGTTTTTCTACCCCAACCGTAACGAAGAGGACTACAACCCCGAGGCCGAGCCCCGATTCATCGCCGACGGTAGCACTATTCGCCTGATTCACGCCCAGACCGGACGCAACCTCCACTCGCACGAGATCGCTGCTCCCATGACCAAGGCCGACAAGGAGGTCTCTTGCTACGGCAACCTTACTATTGGCGATGATAAGGACCACTGGCAGGTTGAGGTCGTTCGCGATGTCGCTTCTCGTGACCGCAGCCGCATCCGCACTCTTACTACCGCTTTCCGCCTGAAGCACCCGGTTCTCGGCTGCTACCTCCGCGCTGGCAACGTCAACCTTCCTCAGTGGGGTTTCAAGCAGATTGAGGTTACTTGCACCAAGAAGAACAACCCCAAGGACTCCTACACTCATTGGAACGTTGAGGCCCACACCAACGATAAGCGTAAGTTGCCGACAGCACGACCATGATATTTTGGATCTGCTGCTAACTGAAACGTAGTGCCTCCTGGCGACCCTGGTTCCTACAAGTCCCCCTTCCTCCACGACTTCATCCATCTCAACGTCGCCATGATGACCTCCAACAACGCTCTCGTTCCCGACCCCGACAAGCAGGACGACCTGGCATCTCATTGGTGGCAGTGGCCTATCCTCAACGTCGGTCTGCGCATGTGTGGTTGGGATGACAACATTGTCAAGTACTTCCTCCTCGGCAACCCCCTCGTCTACTGGGGCTCCACGGCCGGCCTTGGCATCTTCGCTCTCGTCGTCGCCTGGTACGTCGTCCGTTGGCAGCGTGGCTACAACGACTTGAACTCGAAGGAGATTGACCAGATCCACTACGCGGGATTGTACCCCGTGGCTGGCTGGTTCCTTCACTACCTTCCCTTCGTTGTCATGGCTCGTGTTACCTACGTCCACCACTACTACCCTGCCCTCTACTTCGCCATCCTTACGTTTGGTTTCTTGGCCGACTGGTTCCTCCGCAACAAGAACCAAGTCGTTCAGTACACCATCTACGGTGTCCTGTACGCGACCATCATCGGACTCTACATCCTCTTCAGCCCCATTTGCTTTGGCATGACGGGCTCCAACAAGCAGTACAGCTACCTGAAGTGGTTTGACAGCTGGAGAATCTCGGACTAAACTTCTGGACGATTCCTGAAGACAAACCTTGTATCAAACGGTTTCTGCCGAGAAATCATGTATTCGGGGGTGGGTTCATGACTCGGTTTCCCTACCCAACTCTATGTAAGGATACAGGCGATAAAAACGGGCTGCAACTGGCATTTCGAGCTTGAGAGAGGAGAGAGATAGCTGACGGACGATACTTCCGTGCATAATGCAACATGAACTGTTTCCTTGTTTCTGTAAAGATCTTTGACCCGAATATGTGAGACCTTAACTGTGACGGTGAATTATGATTAAAATAGTAGTACAGGGTTGAAAGACGAGAAGGGGCTAAAAACTCTTGCTGATGGCCTTGGGTATCACTATCCTTCTCGAGTGTGTATGCTTTTTTGTTGTACACTGTGCAGCAGCTCATCTAACAACAGCCGCCGCCCGATCCCTTGTTCGCGTCGCCCCCTATCTTGACCTGCCTGCCCCCTCCGGCACCGGGCCCCTTGACACCCGACCTCCTGTCATTGAGGTCGTACTTGCCGGCCTGGATGTTGTTATATATCCTCTCGGCGACCCTCATGAAGGCTTTCTCGACGTTCTCGCCGCTCTTGGCGCTCGTCTCGACGTACTCGAAGACGCCGTTCCTCTTGGCCCACTCCTCAGCCTCCTCCTTGGTCACCTCGCGCTTGTTGTTCTCGTCTTGGGTGAGGTCGGCCTTGTTGCCGACGAGGATGACGACGATGTCGGGCTCGGCGATCTGGCGGAGGTCGTTGAGCCAGTCGGTGACGTGCTGGAAGGTCTGCTTCCGGCTGAGGTCGAAGACGAGGAGGGCCCCGCTAGCACCACGGAAGTAGGAGCGCGTGACGGACTTGTAGGTCTCCTGGCCCGCCGTGTCCCAGAGGGAGAGCTTCATGTGCTTCTGGGGCCCTTCGGCAGCCGCCGGCTCGGGGAGGCGTGGGGGCTCGGGGAGGCCGTTGGGTGTAGTCGTGCCATCTTCATTGGTCTTCTGGGCGCTGGACGGCGCCGAGGCAGCAGGGCCCGGAGGCTTGGTGTTGGGGGGCCCGACGGGGACGATGCGGGAGCCGAACTCGACGCCAATGGTCACATCGTGGTGAGGGGAGAAGCGGCCCTCGCAGAGGCGGATGGTAAGGCTGGACTTGCCGCAGCCCGAGTCGCCAATGCAGACGAGTTTAGCAATGTAGTCCCATGGTGGAGACGACATGGCCCTTGTGTGGGATGGGTTTGTGTGTTGGAGGAAGGGGGGAGATGAAGGTCTGTGGTATTTTTTTCCCGCCGAGAGGATGAAGCGCTGGATGCTCCCTTTTTTCCGGCTAGCCCGCGGAGCAGGGCTTTGCTTCGCTGATGGAGGTATCGAAGGGACGAGACTTGGGAAAGGCGTGGGCGTTGTATGCGGTGCAGTCGTGGTTGACGGTTGACGTTGGTCTGATGTCGACGAGCTTCAAACAGCCGTTGTGGTTTGCCGGAGCACGTGTTCAGAAGATCTGTCTGACAAGGGGTTGGCCAGGTGGGAAGTGGGAATGTTGTTAGCAGTAGGATATCGTTTGTTCTCAATGGAGTGCTCCCGTGGCGACCGGAGACAACGTTTGGCAAGGAAGGCTGTTCAGTGTGCGGTTCTGCAAAAGTATCCAGAAATGATGACCTCGTCTGTACATCAGCGAAAGCTTCCACTACGGTCCGACAGAAGTAGGATCCAATACGTTTGTAGGAAACGGCGGAGTGCATCACGCTGGTCAATGTTTAAGATGGCGGCCCCTGGTCACAGGCTAGGCCCAGAATACAGCCAGAGCCCCAGTTAAACTGGACCGCTGACCAGGGAAAGGGCGGGCAGGTTTGGGGGCCATGGTGTTATCAGTGACGCAAGTGCTGGGTTGATAAGGACAAGCGAGCCATCCATGGTGCAGGCAGGGCGAAAGGAGGATGGGGGACGGGGGCAGTCAGTTGACGACGAGCTGGAAATGACTGACTGACTTGACCTCCCAATGGTGTAGCGACTAATGACTAAATGACTCGGGAGGTTGGACCGGACTAAAGCGATTCCTCGTGTCTCGCGCCGGGACATGTCAGTGCCATGCAGCAAGTGAGGGAGATTAGCAGCGCAGATAGGAGGAACGCATCAAGTACGTGGGTTCGTGGGAAACACAGGTGCCAGAGAGGCGACCGTGATGCCGGCCTCTCCTCAAGCAGGATGCTTCAACTTTTGCCTTGGGATGCCCATGGGTTTCCTGCATATTGCAAATGGACCCAGGTCTGCCCTTTACGGACGCTATCCGGACTCTGCATTGTAAGCGGCCCCTCGGAGCCCTCAAGTTGAGGCGAACCTGGAACTGGGAGGAGGAGAAGCGCGCCAAAAGCAGCCATGGCCATGCCCCCCGTCTAAGGCAATCCGGGCTCTCGATGCTGCAATTCTGCAATGCATCACATCAACCTACCGCCTTATCGCCCACCCAAAGTCCGATGAGTGCCGGCCGCTGCCCGTGGGTGGGCTCCCACGCTCCCCTGCCTCCCCAGGTACTGACGTTTTGAGTGGCTGGCGTGTTAGCGAGGTAGGTACCCGGGGTGACGGGGGGAGGAAAAGGGTCCTAGTTGCTGCTGCTGGTTGTGGGCGGTGTCGGTGTCGTGTGCTCCAGGCAACCTGCGTGCTATGCTGCCGTCTAGGCTGCTGCTGCAGCGTCCGCGCTGCCTGACAACAAGCCTCTCGCCCAGTCCGCCCAGCAGACAACGGGTTACCCCATGTACCCTGTACCGTACCGCCGCTACTACTTCCCTCACCGGTCCACTCATTCACCTGCCTAGGCACCTTCACCTCTTCGTCTGGGCTGTACCGCATGACCTCCGATTCATCTCTCTCCCGACACCTTGGTGCAGATGCCCCTTCTCACGAGCACCTCAGGCTTGATCCGAATAATACCTATTCCAAACAGGGGTGCACTCGACCCGACTCAAGAATATCGCTCAGCAGCTGCTTTGAGCCCCCGAGTATCGTCTTCTTTTCTGTTTGCGTATACACCAGTAGTGTCCACCGCCACCGGCACCCAAAACATTCCAGCCGTTTACTCTTTGTCCGCCATCGTCATTCACAGGCCTTACACAACCCGCCGACTTTATCTATACCCATCGTCCCGCGTTCCTGGCCGACCCCGAAAGAGCACGCGAGTTTTTCTGAGGGGACGAGGTCCTCGCTACCGATAGCACCATGTTCTCGGAATGTAAGTCTATTATCCTGCCACTGCCCAAGGTCTCGGCGACACCAAGCGGCGGTCAACTAACAAACCCGCGACCGCAGATGCGTCCAGGTTCCTGGCGCAGTCACAATCCCGACTCTCCAACTTCGCGGGCCAGGTCGAAGGCAACGAGAACCCACCGCGCCAACCCAACGACTGGTCATCGCGACCTCCACGAAATGGCGGTCGGTCCTTCCTAGGCAGAGGTTACGGAGGAAACCCGTACCAGGCGGGTGGCTCGCGTTTCGGGCAGATGGGCTTCGCCTCCCGGATCTCCACCGCCCAGGATGCGCCGCTTTTCCACAGCACGCTCGACGAGTACATGGAGGAGGATGACGAGGATGAGAGGGACCGCGAGGCAGCGGATATGGCCGCCCTCCACATGTCACGGCGCGTGGCCGCCGCGAGCAAGATGGCAGAGAGCTCCGAGACGGAACCAGACGCCAGTCGTGGCTCTCTGGAGCAGAGCAACGAGGGCCCCGGACGCAGATACCAGGACCGCGGTCTGCGGAGGGGCATCCGCAGCAGCTGGAACGGCACGAGGAGTTTTGGCGGACGTAATCGTGGGAGGGACGTCATAGACGAAGAGGCGGAGGATATCCCCCGCGAGGGCTCCGACCGGGACTCGGATACGAACCCCAAGATGGTCGATATCGGGCTGGAATCCCAGATCCAGGACGACGATGACGACCCGTCTGCATCGCTGCTAAATGAGGCGCATACGGACTCGAGCCCGCCCGCTTTCCAGAAGTTCCAGCCAAAGTCCAGGGATCGCAAGTTCCCGCTGAGGAGGGAAGCTACCCGAGAGGATGACTTTGACGAGGCTCGGCAAGCGAGCTCCGATGACGAAGCCCTGCCTGCGACGGTTCCCCTGGCCGAAGGAGAAATATTCAAGTACGACCCTTTCTTTGCCTGGATCTTCCTTATCGCACTGGCCGGCCTGGTGTCCACGTTCGTGCTCGTCTGGCTGCACACGGGCACGCCTAAGAAGGGATGGGGTGACACAGTTTACACGACATTACAAGCATCTTTCCACATGCTGGCTGTTGACACTCTCATCTCGGTCCTCGTATCTTTCGTCTGGCTGGCGGCGCTTCGGTCGTTCGCCCGGCCACTGGCTCTCCTGATTCTTGTGGCGGTACCCATCATCATGTTCTCGTTCACGCTATATCCATTCATTTCTAGCTACGAGGGCCGGTCGCATGGGACTAGTTTCCAAGACCGGGCCATGCGGTGGGCTGCCCTTGTCCCGGCCATCTCAGCTGTTGTGTGGGTTTACATGGCTTACAAGGGCCGCTATGCCATCCGCCAGGCGATCGAGATCCTGGAGTTTTCCACCAGGATTCTCGCGGCGAACACGGCGCTCCTCATCTTGGGCTTCAGCTGTCTGGCATTGATAGTGAGCTGGACCTGGGTCTGGATGTGGATGTTCTCGAGAATCTTCTTGGGAGGCTACTTTTCGCGCAGGCTCGCCAGGTTCATTATCAGCGTGTCCAGCTGGTGGCTTGGGATATGGTTCGTCCTCATGTACATGTGGACCATCGGCGTCATTAACGCGGTGCAACGAGCGACGACGGCGGCGACGGTGTCACAATGGTACTTCCACCGCAACGCGGCGCCGGCACCTACGTCGGCGGAGATCGTCACGGCCGCGCTTAACCACGCGACCACGACCATCTTTGGCAGCATCTGCGAGTCGACGCTGCTGGCACTGCTCATCCGGGCGCCTCTCCTCGTGCTGCCTCGGAGAATGGCCAACATCCTCCAACATGTCGCGGCCATGTGGATACCAACCCCCATCGCCGCGCTCACGAATCCCCTGACCATCACGTACGGGGCGATTCACTCGCAGAACCTGCACACGGCGGCCCGCGGCCTCAGCCAGATGGACTTCCTCTCCCCGCAGCGGCCGACGACCACACTGACACCGCAAGTGTTCAGCTCACGGCGGTCCAGTCACTCACCTCTACTTCCTTATCGGCTCGCAAAGATGCTTTTGTACGCGACACGATTCATTATGGCTACGGCGCTCGGTTTTGCAGGATGGGTCATGACGGCGAAGCAGCTCTCGATCGCTCTGCCGGACGGAATGGGGGTACGGGGCTCGGCGTACGCATATGTTGTCGGCATAGTTGCCAGTTTCATTGGGTTTTCGGTCATGGGCGCCATGGAGGGTATTCTCAGCGGCATTCTGGATGCGGTGGTCATCTGTTACGGCAGCGAACGGCGTATGGCCAGCGGAGGGGCGCCTACTGCATGGAGGCGGCCTACCTCTTTGGCGAGAGGCGTCGGGACGAAAGAGGCCTGCCTTGAGGGAACATGTCTATACCTTAGTTTTTGCAGTACTTGGAGGAACACAGAGATTGTATGGTTGCGGATGGCTTTTGGAGTTTCTTGTGCAGCGCATGGTTTACATGTCTAGATGGAATAGACGCCCGGGAGCGGGCTCTTTCAATGAAGCTTTCTGATTTACCATATGAGGGAAGTGCTGCCTGCCGTTTGATAACGGCCATGGCACATATGCCAAGCTCCACGACTGTTCAGCCCGAGGACAATGAGTGGTGGAAGTCATCCGTCAAAGGCTGCGCCACGATGTGGTCGCGTTCACAAGTTCAACATCTGGTCGGCGAGCCAGCGCCCGATAGCAGTGGCTGTTGGCCGTGGGCGGGAACCGGAGGGAAGGGTCTATCATGGCACGGAGGGGCGGAGTGCGGCGGTGGTTCGGGGAAACGTACATAGTAGAAGCATCACGACTTGCAAGAATCTCGAAAGTGATGTGCACCGCCACACGAGATGGAGGCGGGCGTTACGCCGGGATGGTGTCATCTGGACTCGCGCGGAGTGTCCAAATCGCTACGAAGCACGCATGTCGCCACTGTTGCTTAGTGCAAACAAGCACTGCTATCATGCGACGGGTGCTCAGTGGTCGACTCTGGATTATGGGAAAAAGAAAGAAGCATCAGCCACAACACTTGTGCGTACGCATGGCGTTCTTCGACCGCCTGGCGTTTTGGAGAAGTCGAGAGCCGGCGGATGGGGGGAGGAGAGTGATTTCATTGGAAAGCCAGAAAAAGCAAGCGAGCAACCAAGCACTGCTAGACGAGGGGAGGGGTCAAACTCATGGGTCCCCGCGCTGTGGAGCTTGGCTCGTGCGAGACGTTTCCAGTCGATCCAGGGAGCCGACCCGAGGTATCCTGACGTAGCCCCTCGCCGCGGGTTCCGTTTGGAGATACATCTGAGGGACATTTGCGCGCCGACCACTTTCTCACATCGGCTCTCCGGCATCCCGGGTCACAGTGAGAGACAACCAGCCAGAGCTTCAAGCGAAGCGACAGAGAGCCTGGAGGGGGACAGGCAGCAGGGCGCCGATGCTGGGCTGGGCGATGGGAGGGTTCGCTGGGCATAGGTAAGTGAGGGGCAAAACACGCATCACATCGGACAAGCATTAGAAAGAGAGGGGCTGTGCTTTGCAGCTCGCAGCTTGCATCGATGGGCCCCGGTTGCAGCGCCAGCGCCGGCGGAGGCAGCTTCGGGAGCCAAGAAGCAGCATTGCAGCCGTGGCAGCGTGGGATGGGAGGGCATCGGAGACCACGAGTTCGAGAAGCGGAATGGAAAAGCGAGATGGGACCGCAAGACCACATGTCGATACAATCCAGTCCAGTGCAGTGCCCAGCAAGTGAGATCACCTGCACGTAGGGGAGCTTCTGGTTTGGTCCCTTTTGCCTCCCTCCACCCCTTCGCCTCAGGACTGCGTAAACCCATGCTAACAGGGCCCGGCTGCCGTCACATTGCTCCCCGTTCCAGAAGCAACTGGATGGTGTTAGTCGAGCGAGGACGACGGCCGCCGGCGTGCAAAGCCTCCGCCTGGTTGCCTCCCTACCTCCTCCCAGCGTGGGCTAATATATTGCGGGAGATGCGGAAACGTCGGGATGCCATTGGGTGCCCGATCCCCCCTCTAAAGGTATCCGTACCTTATGCTTAGCTGCTCTGGTACCTACCTCTGGGTTGGATGGGCAGAGGGAAACGGCCAAAACCTGAAGACGTAATCCCGACCTTCCGCCTACCAGATGCCCATGCCCCCAAACGCTATTATTGCGCCGCCCCCGGTACAACAGCACCTGACACTGCCCCGCGAAGGGAAGAGGCAACCGTTCTCCGTCCCAACCCTCCCCCTTCAAACATCAGTCCCTTATTTCAGGTGTCCGATTCCCCAAAACTATCTGAAAGGGTAGCTGCAGAAAGCTTGAAGGTCTGATTTCCCTCAACAACCTCACTTCCCCATCCCCATCACCGACATCAATCGACCCCACGCGTCAATCCCCGACTCGACAGCCCTCGTCATATAAAGACATTGCGCGCGTAGACTGTGAACCCGCATCTACAGCATCACCTCACCCCCGATTTAACCTCACCTACGCTACACATGGCCGACGACTTCGCTCCCCCGTCGGGTCCCCCGCCTCCCAAAGCTCCCGAGGTCCCTCCCGGCTGGATCGCCCGTTGGAATGAACAGTACAAAGAATGGTAAGCCCCGAGCCCCCCTCAAGCCCTTCGTCTACTATCAAAGCGAACAACGGAACTGACTCCCGCCTCCAGGTTCTACGTAAATCTCCACACCAAGCAATCCCAATGGGATAAGCCAACCGAGCCCGCACTGCCTCCGCCGCCCCCAGCAGACGGCCACCCCGGAGGTCCTCCCCCCGGCTACGCGCCGCGCCCGGGCGAATCGACGCCGCCCGTGGACCAGAAGCAGAACCCGTACGACCAGAAGCACAACCCCTACGAGAACCAGTCCTCGACGCCCCAGCCCTACGGCGCCGGCAGCTCCAACAACATCAGCGAGGACGAGCGCCTTGCCCGCCAGCTCCAGGCCGAGGAGGAGGCCCGCGCCCGCGGCGCCGGCTCGCACTCCCCGATGCCCCCGGCTACAACCTCCAGCAGCAGCAGCACCAGCAGCCCCAGAGCCCGTTCCCCGAACAGCTCCCGCCCCGCGCGCAGGACACGAGGGGCAAGAGCAGCGGAGGCTTCCTCGGCAAACTGCTCGGCAAGGCCAAGACGAGCGGCATGGGAGGCTCGAGCAGCTACGGCCAGCCGCAGTACGGAGGCTACCCCAGCAGCAGCAGTACGGCGGGTATCCTCCCCAGCAGGGGTACGGCGGTGGCGGCTACGGACGCGGCATGGGTGGTGGCATGGGCGGCATGATGGGCGGCGGCAGCGGCGGCCGGAAACCCGGCGGCGGCGGCATGGGCATGGCGGGCGGCATGGCGCTCGGTGCCGGTGCCGGTCTGCTCGGTGGCGCGCTGATTGCGGACCACATCAACGACGAGCAGCAGGAGGCGTACGCTGACGGCTACAGTAAGTTGCACCGTTTCCCGACTTGGGTGTGTTTTTAGTTCGCGGACACTGACTTTTGTGCTACAGACGACGGCAACGATGGCGATGACTATGGTGGTGGCGGCGACGACTTTGGCGGCGACTTCTAAGTGGCGAGAGGAAGCCTGGCCGTGGTGCTTCTTTGAACGAGAATATTCGAATGGGTCATAAATCGGAGGATTTGAAATGGGCAGGGAGGATGGCGGGGGCGGGACGTGAACTTGTCCATAATATGTTGCTTTTCCCCCCAGTAGACAGGAGGAGGCTTGTACTTGGCCTCTGCATCAAGCACCTTCTTCCCCATCGTGGTGCGTTAGTTCCGAAATTCCATTATACCGTAATTCAGGGGTTACTTCCACTACGTTACCTTTGAAGGGGCCGTGAATCTGCTCCGTAAAGTGTACACACACACACACACATCACAAGCTCGGCATGCGTGAGGCGCGTTTTGGCCTTAAGGTGTCTGAATATGTATATAGGAAAAGAGGCGCGCACACCCGTCACCGGCTCTCGCGGACCGTAACCATCCAGTCCGACGTTCAAGAGCACCCTTGTTTTGCTTTCTCAATCTTTTGATCCCCTGCGCCACATCTTGCCCACAGCTCACTCCCTCTCACCTCCGCACGCCCTTCTCCTTCTTTCCGTTGCCGCTGCCGCCGCCGTTTGAGGACCCGGAGCCGGAGGACTCTTCCTTCTTGCCGGTGCCCGCCAGGAAGGCGGCCATGTCGAAGTTGCCCATGGGGTTAGCGCCAGCATCGCCGCCGCCGAGGATGCTGTTCATGGGGTTGCTCTTCTGGCGCTCCTCGAACTCGGCGCGCATTTCGGGGTCCACTGGGGGGAGAATGTCAGCTGCTGTTAGGGGGTTGGGATGGGTGGAAGGGCTGGGAGAGAGTGGATCAGAAGGGAACGGAGAGTAGGACATACTGTTGTCGACGAGGTAGGGCATGCCGAGGAAGATACCCATGCTGACGAGACCAAGCAGGATCATTGGGTTCTTGAGGATGGTAAGGATCGAGACTGCGGTTTACGTGTTAGCATGTTCCTCAACGCTCAAGGAGTGTTCGGCAGGAGACGCAGCTCGACAGTAGAAGCTGCTGAGCCCTCGACACCGAGCACCAAGATATCAGGGAGGGGGGGACCTACACTTGCTCCTCTCCAAAAAGTAGTTCTTTCCTCCTAGAACCCGCACCTCAAAGCCCTTGCCGCCGCTCTCAAAGTCCTTGGCCGTGTAGACCTCGCCCCTGTTGTCCCAGTCGTTGCCGCGGTACGTCTCCCACGCCGACAGGCTGCCGTCGGCGGCGATGTCCAGGCGCAGCGGCGCGAATGCGTGCGTCAGGCAGTGGACATCGACCAGGTACGACCCGGGCGCGGTGACGTTGGTGAAGACAAAGGTGTTCTTGACCGACAGCGGGGCGGAGAAGGAGGCGCCCAGCGCCGAGAGGGTCGCGCGCGTCGAAGGCGGGAGCGTGTAGGGGTTTGGCAGAGCCGGTGATGAGGGAACCGAGAGGGTCAGGGCGGCCGCGAGGGCGAGGGAGGTTGTGGTGTAGGCCGCGAGGGCGACGAGGGATTCGAGGAGGCGCATCTTTGGGGGCGGTCTGCGGGTTTGGGGCTGCAGTCTGTGGTGCGGTTCGGCGGGGATACTCGAGAGCAGGGGAATGCTTCAATACCAATGCCGCGCAAGATGGGAGAGGGAAGGATATAAGAGCTCGGGCCGGAGAGGTTCGACTGGAGGTGGATATCGAGGTGTAGATGAATGGACGGCGTGGGATGGAGCTTGGATCTGGTGAGAGCAACGGCGGTGCGGGTGGATGCAAGTGTGGTTCTGGAGTCGAACCCGTTACCGACCAATCAGCTCCGGCGATCGGATTATCGTCGTCTACCGCGCGCCGGGGCAGCCCGCTCCCCCTTGCCCGCTGACCCCATTCCAGCGCTGTCAGAAGCAGCAACAGCGTCTGGTGCAACACGGGCCTGACTTATTTGCACCACAAGCTCTAGCACGTTTTTGGGGCGGGCGGCTCCAAACGCTCAACCACAACTGCCCACTAGGAATTTGTGGCGCCGGCACGTTTTCATTTCCTCGCATACCTTGTGAGTTGCCACAGGCAGCCGATCGCAGAGCCGTCGGGAAGATCAGGAGGGCAGCTATATCGGCCTTGCTTTCTGCGCGCACTCTAAAGTGAGGGGACGCAGATATGGCGACAGCGGGCGGGCCCTGAAGCTTGTTTCAATCTTTTGGGCTGGATCACCATGGTTTCGATCCAGCACGTTGCGCGAGGAACGGCAAGGGATGCGGAGCGGCATTCGTTGCCCCCCTCCTCTCTTCTTCATTCAGACGATGCGGGAAAAACAGATCGACGTTGCTTTTTCTACGGGTATTTCGTTCTCTCTTACAGGAAAAATCATCCAGCTGCACTTCCAAAAACGCGCACGCTGTTTACCAAAACGGTATTCAAGGGGGGGTGGGTATCCAACCAGATGCGGGCAAGGCGCAAAGCAAGTGCGGTCGCTTCTCCTCCTCATCTTGACTTGTCTTCGCCGAACTTACGGCGCCAGCGGCGCGTCCTCCTGCTTGTTCTCAGCCGCGGGGGCGGGCTTGCCGGTGGTCGTGGCGGAGGCGGCGTTCTTGAAGGCCTGCTCAAAGTCTGCGATGATGTCGTCAATGTGCTCCGTGCCGACCGAGATACGGATGAGATCCTGTTGTGGGTCCCGTGTTAGTCGCCGGCCTGGACTGCATCATATTCCTTTTTTTGGACGGGAAGCTTACCTCGCTGACGCCGGAGCTCTTCTTCTCCTCGTCGGACAGCTGCTCGTGGGTGGTGGTCCAGGGGCTATCACTGTTAGCGACTTACACCGCGAGAGAGCAAGCGTTTAGGATTTCACTCACTGGATAGCCAGGGTCTTGGAGTCGCCGACGTTGGCGAGGTTGGAGATGAGCTTGAAGCCATCCACGACCTGGCTGCCCGCGCTGCCGCCGCCCTTGACGCCGAAGCTGAGGACGCCGCCGAAACCGCGCTTGAGGTACTTCTTGGCCGTCTCGTGGTACGGGTGGCTCTCGAGGCCGGGGTACGAGACCCAGCTGACGTAGTCGCTGGCCTCGAGCCACTTGGCGAGGGCGAGGGAGTTCTGCGCGTGGCGCTCGGCGCGGAGGGAGAGCGTTTCGATGCCGAGCAGGAGCTGCTGGGCGGCGAAGGGGTTGAGGGAGGCGCCGAGGTCGCGCAGGATCTCGACGCGCGCGCGGATGATGAAGGTGATGGGGCCGAACGTCTCCCAGAACTTGAGGCCGTGGTAGCCGTCGCTGGGCTCCGTCATCTGCGGGAAGCGGCCGTTGTCCCACTTGAACTTGCCGCTGTCGACGATGACGCCGCCGATGGTGGTGCCATGGCCGCCGATCCACTTGGTCGCCGAGTGGACGACAATGTCGGCGCCGTGGTCGATGGGGCGGATGAAGTAGCCGCCGGCGCCAAAGGTGTTGTCGACCTGTAGGCGGCGTGTTAGTCATTACTACCCAACTTTACTTCGCAGCGAGCAAGCGGACTATGACTCACGATAACGGGCACGCCCTTCTCGTGGGCGACCTTGGCGATGGCCTCGAGGTCGGGCACGTTGTACTTGGGGTTGCCGATACTCTCGACGTAGACGGCCTTGGTCTTGTCGTCGATGGCGTTGGCAATATCCTCGACGCGGTCGCCGTCGACGAACTTGGTGGTGATGCCAAGGCGCGGCAGGAACACCTTGAACTGGTTGTAGGTGCCGCCGTACAGCAGCGAGGTCGAGACAATGTTGTCGCCGGCGTGCGCGAGCGCATTGATGGCGATGAACTGGGCGGCCTGGCCGGATGAGGTGGCCAGCGCGGCCACACCGCCCTCGAGCGCGGCAATGCGCTTCTCAAAGACGTCTACTGTGGGCTGAGAGTGGTAGGTTTGTCAATGGAGTGTCCTTGTGTTTCGCGACTGCAATTGGACCGAGACAAGAGGCACATACGTTCATAATACGACTGTAGATGTTGCCAAACTCCTTGAGGCCAAAGAGCCTCGCGCCGTGGGCCGAGTCATTGAAGGTGAAGCTCTACAAGCCAAGCTGCTGTCAGTTGCTGCCGCCTTTCTGCTCAGGGTGCGCTGGGGATCACGAACCGTGGTCGCGTAAATGGGGACGGCGCGCGAGTTGGTGGCCGGGTCGGGCTGCTGGCTGTGCGACACGATTCCTCGTCAGTATGGATCCTCAACAAAGCTCTCCAAAAGCTCAAGGTTTCGTTCCCTCGGAGACGCGTTTGGGTTGAGTTGTGTATGTACATACCCCGCATGGAGCTGCAGCGTCTCAAAGTTCTTGCTCAGTTCTTCGGCCATTGTGACTTTCTGGGGTCTTGTGACAATACAAGGAAGGGTATTAATGCGGAGGAGCAAGTGAGAGAGTTCACAGTGATGGAGGGGGAGGGGTAGCAGGAGGAGAAGAGAGAAAAAAGAAAGGCTTCCTTTCGGAGTGTGTGACGGGAAGAGCAGTTGGCCGCGCTTAAAGACCAAAGGAGGCCGGCAACCGGAGTCACAATTGGAGGAAGAGGGGCGGCACAGGAGAGACGGAGAGGATTCGGCTAGCTACGATGATGCCATTGAGGAGAGATCACACCATAGGCTGGCTTTCTTATGATTGCCTCGTCTTTTTTCCTTTGAGGAAAGGGTCCAGCGACATAGTGGTTACAATGTATGTAGTTCTTCCCAATTGGGGGACAACCCTCGTCGAGGACCCCTCCATTTGTCGTTAGCTCGCTCATGACAGATGGGGGTCCAAAGGGGGGAGGGACCCAATGGTCGGCTCGTCGACTAATTAGAGCTCGTCATGGTTTGGCTACGATGCCGCAGCAACAGCTGGATGTTGATTGCGACGGCGAGAAGAAGCTGGTGTGAGCTTTGGAGATGTTACTGGTTGCGCGAAGAGAGCGCCGATTCAGGCATAGAATGTGGGGTTCGGCCAGAGCACGCAATCGACGCTGAAATGTCACTTTGCGGGGCAGAGCAGGGGGCATCGGTTGCCATTGGGGAACTTGGGGAGGGGCACACGAGTTCGTAGCCCACAACGGTGACATGGAGAAGTTTGGTTAGTCTTGGTGTTCCGTCGACGGTAGGTTCACCGAGAGCCTGGGAGTCATATGCTCTAAAGAAGCGGCTTGAACTCAAGTTGCTTACTGCTACACAATATAAAAGGGAGGCCTGTTGCACAGAATAGACATCAAGGTCCTCGTCATCAGCGGTTTGGTGGTTGAGCCCTGGGGTGACTTTGGGGGCCGAAGCGCCATGGTCATTCACAAATTCCAAACGACAGCTTCAGCGGAGACCGGCTGGACATGATTAAAATTGCTCCGATAACCTTGGCCGGCCCATGACCGCGATGCCGCCGCGGTTGTCGGTCGGGAGAGGTGGACTATGGACACAGCAACGGCCCGTGTCCCACAGCGGCTGTCGCTCGAACACAAGAGTGGGAACATACACGATCTTTGAAGAATGACTCAAGGCGGATATAATAATGGCGGTCAACTTCGGGCATGTCTTGACTTGAGCAGCTTGCCCGGTGTAGGGCTGATCTCAGACAGCGGCAGAGAACGCTACGACACATTCTTTCTGGGTCGTCTTCGCAGGTCTCTCGCAGTAGGCAACTTCTGGCAAGGACATGCCAACAGGCCACTCAACTTGGTACCCAGGAGAAGGGGACTTCCGCCTCAATCGCACACGAAGAAGTTGATAAAGGCCAGGGACTTGCAATGCTTATTGCTCGCTCGTTCACCTCAGCCACCGAGGGGCGGGATGTTGGCCCCAGAGCACGGACGTGCACCCCACTGTTGCAGCACAAAGAGGCCTGCCTACCTTGATCCACAGCGGCAGCTCGGCCAATCGAGTGAGAGGCATCGTAATAGGCGCTGAACACCTTTTGACGACACCTTTACCTTTCTTGACTTTCGCTTCATTGCTGATCCATCGTGTATCTCACGTCGGCTGGTTCGGCCGTTATCAGTCATGCTTACACGTTGTGCAAAGTGGGCCCATGTATTTGACTGCTATCTCCAGCTTCTGGTAGCGGAGCGCAGCACTATCAGATATCAGACCGTGGCACATTGGTACACTCTACCTACACCCAGGCGCCCAAGGTCAAAACATTGAAGCTTGAAGAAACAGAGGGAAGTCAACAAAACTCAATGCCTTTACGGGTTTCATTTATACCAGATAAGGCATTATACATGAACATCTCGGCAAGTTATGCCTCCATAGCCACAATTCTGATGTGTTGCAAAGTGTTCCTCGCCAACAATCTGTAACCATTCCAGACTCCTCAACCTAGCATCTATTCCCTACTCAGTGTCAATTTCTAGCACAGAATTAATCTTTGAGCCATCAGGGCCATTTGAAAATATCCTTTTTCGGCCAAATTCCTCTCTTGCTTCAGTTGAGCTTCTTTCATAGAGAAAGTTGAACACGTCTGTATGACCACTAGCATCAACTTGTTGGAGAATAGTCTCGCCATACTTGTTTTTGCAGTGAATGGATGCACCGTACTCGAGTAGAACCTTGACCGCACCCAAACTTCCGCTGATAGCAGCCGCGTAGAGAGGTGTGTAACCACCATCAGTTTCGTAGTTGACTGACGAAAACGCTCCATTTTCGCAGAGCATCTTTACCACAGTTTCGCGACCCTGGGAGGCCGCGGAATGTAATGGAGTCCACAAATTTTTAGTTGTGGTATTGACGTCTGCTCCTTGGCCGATAAGTACCTGAACCATCGATACGTGTCCATTCATGACAGCTAGATGCAGTGGCGTATAGCCATTACGGTCTTTTGATTCAATCAGAGCGCCCTTCTCAATCAGGAGTTGTACAGTAGAATCGTGGCCATTTTTAGTAGCTTGTAACAGTAGCGTTAGGCCATCGCGGTCTTTTGATTCAATGAGAGCGCCCTTCTCAATCAGGAGTTGTACAGTAGAAACGTGGCCATTTTTAGTAGCTTGTAACAGTAGTGTTAGGCCATCACGGTCTTTTGATTTAAAGAAAGCACCTTTCTCAATTAGGAGTCGTACAGTAGAATCGTGGCCATTTTCGGCAGCTCGTAACAGGGGCGTTTTATAATCGAGATCTATTGATTCAATGAGGGCGCCCTTCTCAATCAGGAGTCGTACAGTAGAAACGTGGCCATTTTCGGCAGCTTGTAAAAGTGACGTTTTACAATCGAGGTCTGATGATTCAATGAGAGCGCCCTTCTCAATCAGGAGTCGTACAGTAGAAACGTGGCCATTTCCGGCAGCATATAACAGGGGCGTTCTACAATCGAGGTCTGATGATTCAATGAGAGCGCCCTTCTCAATCAGGAGTCGTACAGTAGATTCGTGGCCATTTCCAGCAGCATATAATAGTGGCGTAAGGCCATGGCGGTCTGTTGATTCAATGAAAGCGCCCTTCTCAATCAGGAGTCGTACAGTAGATTCGTGGCCATTTCCAGCAGCATATAACAGCGGCGTAAGGTTATTGCTGTCTCTTGATTCAATGAGAGCGCCCTTCTCAATCAGGAGTCGTACAGTAGATTCGTGGCCATTTCCAGCAGCATATAATAGTGGCGTAAGGCCTTGGCGGTCTTTTGATTCAAGGAAAGCGCCCTTCTCAATCAGGAGCTGTACAGCAGAATCCCGTCCATGTTCAGCAGCATACGACAATGGTGTTCGCCGTTCCATGCAAAGAGCCTCAACATGAAATCCCTCTTCCAGGAGACTTTGTAAAGAGGTTTCGTTACTATCGTAGTGCAGTAGTGTGCGTCCTCTTGAGTCCCTTGTATTCAAATCAAAGCTTTTTGTAACAATCAAGAAAGAAAGCATGCCAACATGCTCTTTCTTCACGGCCCAGTAAGCCGGCTTTTTAGCCATCGATGGTTCAAAAAGTTTTCTGTCATTGATATACTGGAGGATGTCTGCGTGATCACAAACAGTCTGGCTTTGTCTCAGGAGGACCTCTGATGCTTGTCGGTTGCCGTTGGCCAGGGCAGCGAACAATGGAAATCCGTAACGTTCTTCGTGACGGAGCATGAAAGCATCTTTGTACCGCTGGATACTCGCTTCAAGGAGGTTGGCAAAATTCCTGTCAGCAAGGATATATGTAAATTTTGCCTCTGGCATGTAGCGACGAACTTCATGTTTTTCGAACACATTATTAAGTCGAATCCATGTGTTGAGCGGGAACCGGTTGAAGAAATCTTTTTGTGAAGTTTCAGACGCAGCGTTCGCATGGTGAAGGACATGCTCAATTGCATATGCAAGAAATGGAAATCTCTCAGACGCCATTTTTCGGAGTCTTAGCCCTTGTTCCGACTTGGCTTTTGGGAGAGGCTCTGTTGTAGGTATCTCGTTTGACATATCGAACGTGATTTGCGAAAAACAGCACTGTTCGAGTTTGCCGTGGCTGAAACCTTCAAAGTCGTCCCCGAGTGTTGGCCAAAGCTCTTGCAAACCGCGATCTTTGACCAGAAAGTCGCGTACCGACTCGTGGATGAACTGAACAGTTTCAACCTTCGTCTTGGTGGTCTCGGCCAACCCTTTTGAAGAGCTAATGACAAATCGTTCCATATCATCGGTAGTGAACTGGTCGGGATTGAATGGGACGAGTGGTCCGTCTTTTAGACCGGAAAGAACAGCAAAGTAGAACTCGTGCCGTCTCAAGGGTCGCTTTGCATATAAAATCCATTGGATACACAGCAAGAGGTCGTCCATGTTATTGTTGTCCCGTAGTAAGATGTCTTTGAATAGTTCGCTCAGCTTACTAGGAATTTGTTGTAATCGTTTCTTGATTGCAAATGAACGGCCATTTTGAATCTCCTTGTTCAGAATATCAAGAACCAGGACGACCCAGATAAAGACGCCATCGGCCTTCTCCAGTATTTGGTCTTGGACCTCTTTAGTATACTGCTTCGAACCTACCTTCCTAAGGCAGTTCTGGACGTATTTTCCCAGGTCTTCTTTGTGGCCCATTTGGTGTTCGACAATCAACTCCAGGCCATTCTCGACTTGGATGTGGGGATAATGCCGACTGGAGAAGCATATTCGTAGCTTGATACAATTTGCATTGGCGTCTTCCCCAAGATCCTCAAAGTACCTAACCATATCCTCAACCTGTCCCTCGTTGCACTCGTCAAGTGCGTCAACAAAGCAAGTCAAAGATCGTTGGCCAAGGGATAAGATGGCGTTGCGAAACACTTCTTTGAGTATCTCGATTGCTGGACATGTCGTTTGATTCAATGGGATGAGGCTCAAATCATCAAGAACGGTTTGCAGGCCGGGAAAACTTTCGAGAAGTTGAAGTAATAGGGACCGGTATAAGCCAAATATCGACTTTTCCAGCTCTTCGCCTCGCGAATGGAAGAAGAAAGAAGCAGTGGCTTTGCCTGCCGATAAAGATTTCTTCGTCCGTCCAAAGGCGAACTTCATCAGGGTCGATTTCCCAGCACCAGGTTTCCCACTGATCCATAGGAAACCATGGTGTTGTGATAGCTTGGATGGATCAAGCCAACCCTTGTAAGTTTCGTGTTTGAGAAGCCATTCACACGTCTTCTTATGTGCAGCTTTGATAGATGTATGACGCGAGTCGAGTTGGTCGAATCGCAACAATTCCAACAGGTCCACTCGGCGAGCTTGTAGTTTCTGTTGCACTGCGACAGCGTAAGCGATGCTAGTTTCTCGAACATCAGGATATACTAACTATCATCTGTTATCGTTTCTGGTGCGTCGGCGGTCGGCATTGCCTCGATCTTGCTCGGTGCCATGGTGGAGAGGAGCTCCTTCGCGTAAGCTGCTGCTGTGGCCGCTGCGTACCTCTGCCATTGCTTGTTTTTATGTGAATCTGCATAATCGCAGATTCCTCTGACAATCATGCAAGGAAACTGGTCCACCAGCCCGGCTGCCTCCATCTCGAAACAGATAACTCCAAGCTCTTTGGCAAGTCTGTCTCGAGTTTTGCCGTCTTTCACAACCTGGTTTCCGGAGGCAACACCACCATAGTGGATGTGTGGATTGTTGCTCTCTCGTAAAGGCCGGGGCTGTACCTTTGATGAGTCGCAATGATTGCAGTGTGCTAGCTGTGCATGGTCGTACGTGGCGCAAAACAACCGGTCTTCGCATTGGATTGGGTAGGCATATTCTGTAGCCATCTTTGGGTGGCGATCGAGCATATGTTGAAGGATTGTAGTTACCTCACTAGGCATCGACTCGTGCAAGGCACGCAGCTTGTTGATGGCGATCAAGAGATCATGTGGGGCCACTCTTGGAGTCGCAGTGCGCTGAACTCGCTCTCCTGACAGGATCTTGCCCAAGTCGTACTGTATCACGGTCGTGCCAACCACAACGTCTCCTAGTCGAATGTCGAAGCCGTCGCTAGGAGCGCCGCCGCCGATGCCAACCATGAATCCCACGCGGATTGACGGAAAGCTCGAACGCATATTGCTCGCCACGATTGCTGCATTGTTCGTTCCGTACTGGCCCGACGGCAGACATGCCATCACGACATTGTGCGCGCCAATGTTCCCTAGCACGTATTCGTTGGGATCGTTGGCTACCTTGAGCAGGCCTCCATGTTCGCGGTCCAACATAGCACGGCTCGCAGCCAGCTCGATGTGAAGAGCGCAGATCCATCCCACGGTATAATCAGCGTGCCGGCGTTCTCGGCCGTCGCCGTTTGAACTTCCCCATGCTCTCAGTCGTTTCGCAGGGTCAGATCGAGGAGTGTCTTCGCTGTCTTGGCTAAGGCCCCTCTTGGCGCCAGAGGGTACCCCATCGGGTGCATCGCTTGGCATCTCGACGCTGCGAGGGTTCGTCAGGTCTGTCGACATCGATCATTCGCACAGCGGGCGCGACTCGAGGAAGACCACCGGGAACACCCAGATCTTGTTCCTGCCGGTTTTGGGTAAGAAAAACGGTGAAGAAAGAAGGGAAAGAGGCACGGGGGAAGACTTTACCGCGCAAGGCTCTGGCAACCCACCAGGGGGGTGGCTTGGTAAGGCATCCAGCACTCTGCAGACTCGCACAAGTTGGTTGGCTGGCCATCAACACCCCGTCGCCAGCGTCGTGAGCTTGGCGCCGCTGCGCGGGCTGTGCCGCGAGTGTGCATCCGCGACGGGACTCAGCTCAGATAAAGCGCCAGAGCCTAGTTTCCGTATTCGATGCAGAGTGGGGGTGGGAGTTGTCGTCCGAATTGACTATAAATACTAGTCTATAGAAACATTTGAAGAACCGTTGCAGAAACACTAGAAACAAACTTGATAGCCCGGCTTTTATGTCCACGAAGCCGTGGGAAGAACCCATCTCAATAAGTCTCACACAAAGATGGTACTGACGCACAGCAAAAAGATTTGAGTGGACGAAAACTAAGAGATTATGGGAAGGAATGACTACAGACCGAAGCCTGCAGAATAGTAATAGTACGGATAGCATCTACGTCCTTATTGAAATGACCAACCCAAAAAACCCAATTGTATCCGATCCACACATGTTTTTCCAATAAGCCCGTGTCAACCTCTTGACACCCCAAATATACCTCCCCCGCTCATACCCAGGTTCCGCCTGTTCGGTTCCTCTTTTCACCCCCCCGATTCCGTTGTGAACCAGTCATCTAGACAAGGTTCACGTCACTAAAGCCCGGGCCGTAGATGCGCCTCTGGTCGATTTCCCACAGTTTCTTGCGATCGCTCTTGCGGTCCCACGAGGGCATCCGTTTGGTCCGGATGAGCTCGACAGAGGCTTCCCGCCGCCGCTCCTCGAGGGCGTCGTGGAAAGACTTGAAGGAGTCGGCGTAGGTGTTTACGCGGACTCCTTCATTTGAGGAGGAGGGCCACCGGCGGTGGGCTTGCGGAACCCCGTCTTGAAAACGTCCTTGGCCATGAGCAGTGTGGTTCCCGCCCAGAGGACGAACTGGAGCGCCGCGAGGACGGTGTCGGCGCGGGCGGCAGCGCAGACGGAGCCGCGGCAGAAGAGCAGCTTGCTGAGGAAGACGGCGAGGGCGATGAAGCCGGCGAAGTAGAAGAGGACGTTGGTCGCCTCAAAGCCGACGGCAGCCCAGGGGTGGGAAGCTGGATATGGTCAGTTAACCGTTTACACTCATCATACCCGGGAAAGGGAGGGGGACTCACCTCTGGGAGCAAACTTGGGGACCACCTCGAGGTAGGCGATCGAGATGAAAGAGAAGAGCGGGACGAAGACCAGGAAGTTGACCTGGGACGGGGACGAAGTCATGGTGTCCATGTTGTACCAGTTGGCGACTGCGAAGCATACAGTCAGCTCATGGTTTCCACCGAAAACTAGCCACCGCGGTTGACCAGTTTTCCCAGACCACTTCCATCACATACCATAGGCCGAGAGACCAAGGATCACCAGCGACAAAACACCCTGGACGATTCGGAGAGGAAGAATGAGACCCATCTTGTCGGTATTTTCGTTATCGGTTCGTTGATAGACTCGTAGTTGGTTTTTCTCGCGAGGATAAGGAAAATAAGGAGAGAATAAAAAAGTAGTATGGTAAAGATATATAAGTCTAAGCTGCCCCCAGTGCGCTGTTCAAGAAGTGAAGTAGGAAGGTTGACAAGAGAGAATGGGTGGAAACGGTCGAGCGGGAAAAGGACCAAGAAAAGGGCAACGCAAGCATGAAAGAGGGGAAATCACTTATACTTTTGTATGGGCGGACAGTCCCATCTTCCTGAGGTGACCCTGTCCGAGTGTTTGAGAGGCGGAACATGAAGGTCGCGGCATCTGGCCCATCACTGGACGCATCTCCAGGGTTGGTTGGGGGTCGTGTGCGGGTGCTGGGCAATGCACGGCCTGAGACCTCTGAAATGCATCTGAAACGGGACTCCCCTGGGGCCGTCGCCATGCGCGCCGGCTAGGCAAGCAAAGATGGTGTGCAGCAGGGCCCTTGCTGGGGCCCCATTGAGCCAATCCCAGCAGCGAAGATCAACAGAGCCTCCTTTTCATGCGGGACTCTTGGCTTGGCGCTGGCAGGTTGTCGCGCGCCGTCCTGCTTCCTGGTTGGCCGGCCCCGGGGGGAGGGCGTGTTGGTTTACTGGTGTTTTTGCGAGGGAGTGCTCTCGTGGCAGGCTCACATCGAAGCGTCGGAATGGGTTTCTCTCTCCCTGATGGACAGGACGCACACACATTTGTCGGACGACAAGACTCGCTACCAGAGCCGGCCGGGGTGGATCGGCGATACAGCGCGAGCGGGCAGCATCTCATCTGTTGTGGGCGAGTAGTGTAAGAGGCATAGCGGCTGAGGGCAGCATGGATGGAGAGACGCATCATCATGCAGGAACAGCGACATTGAGTGAGTGATTGGAGGACCGGATTAACGTTGCATTGCCTCTGCTTGCTGTGATGCTCTGCGAACTGCCAGCAGCGAGGGCGCAAAGGCATACCGGCACCGTATTGCGTACCCGCCTGCTCGCCCCGACCGACCTACCTAACAGAGAGACAGGGTGTGTGTGTGTGTGTGTGTGTGTGTGTGTGTGGGCTAGGTTTGGGCAAAGTTGAGGTGAAAGGCTGAAGCGGGATCTTCAGACTGAGAAACACAGTGAGGCGGCAGACACAGCGATACGCGAGTCTTGCAGAACGGGCTCGGAGGGTTTGAGGCTGAAGAACAGCGAGTCTCAAGATGCCAAGCATGATTCGCCCCGGACGCCCAGCATGTGTCACCGAACTTTCGACGACGCGGGCCTCTGGGCCATCTCGTGTTGTGGGTGTTGAAACAAACGAGACTAGAGAAAACAGGCAAAACGTAGTGGCAGAGAGGGGAGGGGGGGAGTTGCGATGACTGAGATGGACGCGGGCTGCGTTGCAACACTGAACCTGAAATAGGGAGAGAGTGTATGAACTACACCGTACCGATGGTAGGGTGGTAAGGTGGGGAGGCGATGGTGAGAAGAAAGGGAAAATGTCCGAACGTGTGTTGTTTCCTCGCTCCTGGGTCCACCCCCCTTTCCTCGCCCCTCAACGATTCACACTTTAGCGGGCGGGTTGTGGGCTGTCACTGCAAGCTACTATCAAACCCTGCTTCGTCTTGTCTGGGGGGGAACAGGGGAAAAAAGATCAAGGTCAAGATGGACAGGGTCGGCAAAGACAAGAGAGGAGCCTGAGGAACGTGAGGACCGACTGATGCGATTGCCCAGGTCAGAGGACGGCTATTCAGCCGGACGGAGAATCTTGGACCAATCTTCTTTTCCATGGAGGATCATCAGCATACAGGAACGGCGGACGTTGCAACGCCAAGGGTGCCGCCCAAGTTTCTTTCGCGGGACACTCGAAACAGCCTGCAGCGATGGTCAAGCGATAGCGTGTGCTTGGCGAGGACTTCCCAGACTTGACGTAGCACGCGCCGCAGGGGCCCTCCCGTCATAAACAAGCACTACCGCCGCGGGAAAACCGGGGGAGGGACCACGGCCGGCCACTTACAATGGCTGTTCTTAAAAAAGCCATGAGACGCCGCACAACCGACTCCTCAGACTCAGTCCGATACTCACAGTGCCAAGGAACCTCCCTCGGCAGACCCTTCGCCTTGGCCTCCCCTTTTGCCCTGCTGTTCCAATCATCCTCTCTCTCTCTCTCTCCTCTATTGTAACATACTGGCATCCGTACTCTCCCTTCACAATGGCCCGTCCGTCTGTGTGTCACGACTCGCTGCAACAGCGGTTCTCGTTGCCGACTTGGCTCGCATCGAAATTGCGACTCTGCCAAAGCTTCGCCCAACACAGACATCATGTCAGAAAGGCTTGGGACTCCTGGGCATCTCATGCCCTTTCCAAGCTTCCGCCTATCGACCACCCCTGGTGTCGATTTCCCCCGTAATACCTATTGGCACTTCGGATCGGACGCACTCTCCAGAAAGTCTTGGCCGCCGCCGGAACCATCCATTCCTGCCATCCGTGGAGCCTCAACGCGGTGCTGAGGTTCTTGGCGAAGAGTTCTAAAATGCCCGCCTTGTCGCTGCATCTTCTTGCAACGGCACCTACGATGCCCGCATCACAGAGAGAGCTTCGAGCCTGAGCTGTCCCAGACTTATGAGATCGTGCCCTATTCTCGTAAACCAAAAAGAGGATGGCGCTTATTCCCAAAGAAGATCTAACAAAGGTTCCGCAGTAAAGCTTCGTGCCGCCTCGCCTTGCCGTCTCGTTTCAACGTCACTAGAACCGAGCATTGTACGCGAGGAAACGAAAAAGCTTCCGTGGGCCTGCTATCCCGGGCCATGTTCTCCAATAGAATGCCAATCAAGAGATGCCGGCCTACCCTCGATGCTTACCGGCCACGTCTCTCATTACGCAGCGCTCTCGTCTTTCTTGTCACAGGACCCCGACTCTCTTGCGTGTCTGGGCCTCTTGAAATGGCAGCCCGAAAAAAGAACAGCTGGCCTACGCTGTGTCATCCCGAAAAGCCCACACGAGTCATCCCAGAACGTTGTCATGCTTGGGCACTCACATTCGCGTCCAGGCACTTCCTGATCAGACGCGACTCAAAACGCAAGCACTTGTTTTGTGTTTGTTCTGTTCCACCACCGCCGTTTTCTGTCTCACTGTCTACTTCTCACATCGGGTACGTCAAAGCTGTCGCGGCTTACCCACAGTTGAGGGCCACAGCTGAGACCTGTCAACGGGTTATCGGCCGGATATACAAGACGCCTGATAATCTCTGGTGAGTTTGGGACTCCATTCATCAAGAGGAGCAATCGTCTTTGCACTCGATCGAAAGACCCATAATGCAGCTTTTTCGGACCATTGCGGTGAAGTGTGCCCTGGTCATCGCACTTTGGCGCACCTCACGATCTGGACTGAACTATTTACGTCTTTCCTGGCTGAATCCAAACCTCAACCTCTGAAAGCTGAAATAGGCCAAACTGTGGAGACTCAGCCAGCCCTTCTATAGCCAGCCCCGAACCATGACCATGGAATCGGCTTGATGAGCCCTAAATGAGGGATGGCCATGAATTCAGGCTGGAGAAGGTCTCTTCTGACCTACCTATAGAAAGAGGAAGTGCAGACCCGTGGCCAAATCAGTGTTGGTAGGCGTTGCTGACTCTACTGCAATCGCTGGGCGCACCTTAGCAGACGCAGTTCCTCGCAGCAGCCCGGCGTCAGGGCGGGCTCGTAGCAGGTGGGACCCGGGCTTCTTCGGCCCATTCCGGGTACGGCGTCCAATGACCCCCGCCCGGCGTGAGACAGAAGCTCTGCGCCCGGACGCGACCGTCCAACTTCTAGCATGTGACAGCTTTCACAAGTTGGGGCTTTTGGAGCAACACCCTCTGTCGCGTCGTCAGTCAGTATATTCTTCAATCGACCACGAGCTTTGCTTAATGTCAGTTCATTCTCTCTTCTCCAGCGATCACATAGAACAGAAGATGCATGGGTAAAAATGTCGAAAGACGGACATCGGTATCATCGGGTTTTCCGCTCTGGATACGGATTTCGAGCGATCCTCTTGGCTCAAGGCAAATAAATGATGGATAGTGGCGGAGCTGTGGACCAGGATCTACCTGTTGAAAGTGGATCTGGTTTGATGAATGGCCCCGTTAGATTGAAGCTGTTCCTCTCTTATAAGCATGACCCGCGGGGACACAACTCTGTTCGTAGCTTCAAGATGTCGCGACGATGTTGCATCGCCAAGAGTCGGTCAGGTATCGACGGCATCCTGATACTCACATGTTGGATCTTGTTCAGTATCGACGGCGACTGGAACCATCCCGTAATGCCAGAGTCTCGCCAGTAAGCTACATGTGTGCAATGCAGCCCGACAGACACATTGCTCCACGTGGACATTTCACAGTGAGGTCATGATGGGGGAACGACGGTACACGGGGCAGCTTTCCCCATTTTTTGGCGTCTAGTTTGTGACCCAGAACCCCCAGCTTCAGCTCCCCCCCTTCCCTCCGCTGCCAACCTCCCCAGCGCCCCCGCAAGCCATTATGTCCGGCGCCCCCCTTGGCGAGCCGGTCGGGGCCTGTCATGACCTATCAGGGCCCCTCAATCGCTGTAGCGTGCCCCCTTAGTGCAGTCACCATCTGGGGTTGCCGAGGACCTGTGGTGGAGCCCTGGGCGCTCTGGACAGCTGTGCCTCGGTCCACGCTCCTCAACTCGGCCTGGCTCGTTGGATCCTTCCCCCCCATTTCCTGCACATTTACGCCTTTTACGGGGTATTCGGTTCTCGAGCTCTTTTGGCGTCTACCTCTTTGTACTCCGACTACCAACTCTTGAACAAGAAAGGTCCCCCCTCGCAGTTCCGTCCCTTCTTGGTCTGTTGGTTCTTCTTTTTTTCTGGATCTGCCTCCCGACCTCTACATCTCATCACAACTCTTACCATCTAGCATATCTCCTACACATCCATTTTTAGGGTTCTCCGGGCCAGACCTGATCCATCGCTACTGCCTCCCTTCGCGCCGTCGCTCTCCCAACGAATCGGCAGCAGCATCTCAGCAGATCGACGTCAGCAACAGCCCTCCTCAGCCGCCAATAACCCCCCCGCAGAAGCCCACTGCCGACCGCGAGCATGGCTCCCACAAAAGACACCGCCGCATACATACAGGAGCTGGCCACCCCGCCGCCTCCCGGCTCTCCTTACGGCGTGCCAATCCCCGGTTCCGAGAAGGAAGGTCGCAGCGCCATCTACCGTCATTGGCGCTTCCGCGACGGCCCTCTGCTGTCCACCTTTGATCCCGCCGTTCAGACCGTTCACGACCTGTTCGAGGAGTCTGCCAAGAAGCGCCCCAACTCGAGGTGCCTGGGCCACCGAGCCTGGAATCCCGCGACCAAGGACTGGGACAACAAGTACACCTGGGCGACGTACGCCGAGGTTGCCGAGCGCCGCAAGAACTTTGGCGCTGGTCTCGTAGAGATCCACCAGAAGATTGGCATCACCAGCGACCACTACGGCGTTGGCCTGTGGTCCCAAAACCGCCCCGAATGGCACATCACCGGTACGTTGGCCTTCCGCGCCAGTCAAGATCGCATGCTAACTCGGGCCGAAATCAGATCTCGGCGCGGCGTCCCAGTCCCTCTTCACCGTCTCTCTGTACGAGACCCTCGGCCCCGATACGACCGAGTACATCATTAACCACGCCAACTTGGCTTGCGTCGTCACGACTCTGCCGCACATTCCCGTTCTGCTGAAGCTCGCGCCGAGGCTCCCCTCTCTCAAGCTCATCGTCAGCCTCGACTCCTTGGACGCCGGCGAGCCGGCTGGCTACTCTAAGCTGTCTGTCCTGAACGGCATCGCTGCCCAGCATGGCATCCAGATCCACTCCATGGCCGGCGTCGAGGAGCTTGGTCTCAAGTCTGGCCGCCCCATGCGCCCCCCGCGTTCGACTGACTATGTCACTATCAACTACACTTCGGGAACGACCGGCATGCCCAAGGGTGTCGTCCTGACTCACGGCAACGCCGTTGCTGGTCTTGCAGCTGCGAGATCGTCTGGTACTGTCACTCACAAGGACGTCCACATCTCTTACCTGCCCTTGGCTCACATCTACGGAAGGATGGTTGATCAAACCGCCCTGGCCGAGGGTGCTGCCGTTGGCTTCTTCCGTGGTGACATCATTGGGTTGGTCGACGACATGAAGATTCTCGAGCCAACAGGGTTCATGTCCGTCCCCGGTTGTACAACCGCTTCAACTCGGCCATCCGCTCCGCCACCATCGATGCCGACGGTGTCAAGGGATCCCTGTCCCGCCAGGTCATCAGCACCAAAAAGGCAAACATGAAGCTGCCTATTGGCAAGGCGAGCAACTCTCACTTTTTGTACGACAGGATCTGGACTCCCAAGGTTCGTGCCGCTGTCGGCCTCAAGAAGGCTCACAGCATGGTGAGCGGTAGCGCTCAGTTGGACCCCGACGTGCATGAGTTCCTCCGGGCTGCCTTTGGCAACCACTTCGTACAGGGATATGGCCTGACGGAGTCGTACGCCGTCTCGACGGTCCAGCTGAAGGGCGACTTCAGCTTGGGCAACATTGGACCGCCCGCCTCTTGCAACGAGATTTGCCTGGAGTCCGTCCCCGACTTCGACTACTTTGTCACCGACAAGCCGTACCCGCGCGGCGAGATTCTTCTCCGCGGCCCCAGTATCTTCCAGGAGTACTACAAGAACGAGGAGGAGACGCAGAAGGCCCTCGATGCCGACGGCTGGTTCCACACCGGAGATATTGCCGAGGTTGACAACATGGGTCGCTTCAAGATTGTCGACCGCAAGAAGAACGTGCTCAAGCTCTCGCAGGGAGAGTACATCTCCCCCGAACGCATCGAGAACGTCTACCTCGGTAGCTCCAACCTGGCGGCCATGGCTTACGTCCACGGTGACCCGGCCCAGTCGTCGCTCGTTGCCGTCTTCGGCGTCGACCCCGAGAACTTTGCGCCGTTCGCCAGCAAGGTCTTGAAGAAGACGATCGACAAGACCGACATCCCAGCGATCAAGGCTGCTGCCGTTGACCCCAAGGTCAAGAGGGCTTTCCTCGCTGAGCTTGACAAGATTGGCCGAAGCCACAAGTTCAACAGCTACGAGCGCGTACGCAACGTCTACCTCACGATTGACCCCTTCACCATCGAAAATGAGCTATTGACGCCTACGTAAGTGACCGCCACCCAGCCTTTCATGAATACATGCTAACCTAGCGGAAACAGGCTTAAGTTGAAGAGGCCGCAGGCCGCTAAGGCGTTCCGCGCGCAGATCGATCAGATGTACGAGGAGATCAACGCGGAGCCTTCGGCTAAGCCCAAGCTTTGAAAGGGGTTTGGTTTAGATAATTGGCGTTGGTTTATGTCGTGTTACATACAGGCGGGGTGTACTGTACCATATAACTTGATCTGCTGGCTTTGAAGAATTCGAACCAACCACGTTCTAAACGAATACGATTAGATTGTCTGACTTATCATGTCTGTTAAAACTGAAAACGAGCATTATACTGTTTAAATGCGTAAACCTTTCAATGTTTCCAAGCGCCCTTGTCTACCATACTCCATTACCACAAACACTGAAAATTGGTGTAATTGGTTACAAGGACTTGGAGAGTGAAACCGCCATAGTTAATAACTCTAACAACATGCAGTGGCGCAATGTCAGCGCCCGGCCGAAGATTGTTGTAGTGGGGCTGCAGGCCTCCGAAGCTCACGAAGCTCCGGTCCGGTAGGCGAGGTGTGAGGACACGAGCCAACGGCAGCGCTACTAATCAATGTCTGGGTTTCATAGTAGCCTACGGTTGGCGACCCGCCGTGGTACCTTACCTGTTCCGCTAGAACAGGCATAATGCACCTGCGACTGGCCCGGGGCCTGGGTTCCGAGGGTGACGACCGCGCTCGGCGCATTTGATATCGCCGTCGAGCCTCTCGACGTGAGCGCGCGCGACCTCTGGACGCATGCCAGCAAGAGTTAACGTAGCTAATGAGGCCCAGAAACATGTTATCAGAGGGTTTAGTTTCATTTCGAAGCCTTTGTGTGCTTTATTATTGTCGAGGCCGCGGCCGCGTACGACGTGCCTGGCGGCAACGCTCGGGAGGGAACGGCGAGCGCCATGTCAATCAACAACGATCCGATCAAGTCAATGACACCAGCATACACCATTGTAAGTTGTCGCAAATGAACGAATGCATTTTCAATATCAAAATAACAAACGTGAGATATCGAGGTAACGGCAATTAACCCGTTAATAGAGCTTAAATATAGAAAACAGACACAATAATGATTAAACCATGATTAAACCATATTTAATTATTCTAGATACATTTCTCTACATTAAAATAATATTAGAAAAAAAGCTAGCGTATTATTTCCAAGTATAAAGAATCTATTTAAGCATCTAAGCTACAGTTCTTAAATTTTGATATAAATAGACAGAACGCTCTTTGTTCTTACCTAATACTACGTTGGGCCCTTGAGGAAGGTGCATAGACCCACTTTTCTAAACCCCCTTCTTCCCGATGTGTTTGGCTGTCGTTATAGCTTTCTCAAACCTTCTAGTGACTACGACTTGACGACCTACGCGTCGGCGACTCATTTACGCGCCTCAACCTCCGCCACCGTGGACGCGTCTGCGAGCTCGTCTTGACGATGCTTGCCTTCGCCGGCAGTTCTTCAAAATCCATGAAAGCCTCCTCCACGGTGATTGATTTGACCGTCAACGATGCTGTCGAGATTGACCTCACCACGATCGCGGACTCTCCTCCGCTGAGCCCGCGGCCGAACGGTATTAACGGCGAGCCACCTCGGAAGCGGCAGCGCGTTTCTGACCGGCCTTTCCTTCCGAGCAAGTCGCGCGACCTCGCGGCCTGCTTGAAAGCGCAGGTCAAGCCTTACATCGACGCTTCCCTGGCGGAGATCCCAGCGGGCACCGTCAACTCTTACGAGATTGGCAGAAGAGTAAGTTGAAGTGATCTTGCAGGACTCCTGAATACTCTCCAAGACTCGCCTTGAAGTACGGCTCCTTACGCCTCGACCACAGGTTGTAAACGATATCGGTAGCACGCCTCAATTCTCACTCGAGTTCACTCACAATGGTGGCTTCCTCTCTCAAGGCCTCGAAAAGGAACTGGCGGACAGGGCCCGCGATCTCGTGGCTCACTACCGCTGGCAGCATGTAAGAGCGCATCATGCGAACCCCAAGCCGCATGCGCGAGCTGGCACTGACTTTCCGCAGGAGTACCAGATCACTGCAACGCCGACGTACTCACCGGCGCCACCGTCACAACGAGAACTCTCGACCTCTGCCGCAACCCCCGTGATCCCGAGCGCTTCGCCTCCAAGACGCACGTCGATAGCTCCTGCGCGTTTACCCTCAACTACACCGAGACCTTTGGCGCCCGCTGCGACGATACCTCAGACCAAATCACGGCCACATGTCGAGGAATTCCCCAGCGCTCCTGTCTCGTCGACGAATTACCGAACAAAAGCGCGAGCCAAGTCGTTCAAGTCATGGCACACACACGCATCTCGATCGGCACCGGCAACAGCGAGCCGCAAAGCCAAGGCCGCATGGATGAACATGCCGAGGCGGCCCTACATTACTACCGAAGAGCGAAAGACGATATTCCGTGGCACGTCCAAGCTTGTCCGCACGAAGGCGGCGGCAGCGGCGCTCAGCCCATTCCCTTTCCACGTTGACTTCACACCCGATGAAATGGAGGTATTGCGGAGGAAGGTACGGGCGTTATGCGACAAGAAGCCCAAGACCAAGAGGAGCAGCGACACAGCCAGGGAAATGGGGAAGCTGCTCCGCAAGCGACCAGAGTTGCTCACCATTATACCACCGGAGCTTGAGCTGCGGGGTGCTTTGGCACAACGAGATCAAGTTGCGATCAGGAATCTGCTTGACGAGTTGGTCGACAGGCACAAGAGACCGGCTAGGCAGCCAAAGGTGTTGACATTAGAAGTGGATGAGTCCGACAAGCAAGGGGACGCACAACGCACGAGCCAGATACCCTCGCTTCTATTTGCTCGCGAGATCGATGGCAACCGAGGTTTTGGAAGAATGCGGCGGCAGGTCAACTTCTCAAACGAGTTTAGGAAAGCTCATGAGGACGATCTGGAGATGCGGGCGGAGTGGGTGGGCTGCGCTGGCGACATCATGACCATCGTGTGGACTTCGGATACCAACTTCATATGCGGTGCCACAGCTCACTCCGATTCGCACAACCAGCAGTACAACAAGGCAGGCAACCTACTGTTGTGCTCTACTACCAGGGGGCAGCTGAAGGCATATCCTGATCACAGGATTCCGCGTCCGATTGTTGAGAAGGGAGAGAACTCAACAGAGGCGATGAGAGAGAGCCAAAGCCCTTGGCTGTACTCCTCGGTCGTATCCTCCGACTACGACCAAATCAACGATCGTGCCTACACATCAAGTTTTGATAAGACAGTCAAGGTCTGGAAAGTCGACAAGACGGGAGGAAACATGACTGTTCTGGGCACGTGGGCCCACCAGGGCAACGTCAACTTTGTTGCCGTTTCCAAGCTTGAGTCCGGTATGGTGGCTACGGCTGCGGATGTAGCCTCCCACGCCGTGCGTGTTTACAATGTTGACAGCAGCAACATTTCTTCAAGCCCATACAAGACCTACTCCGGCGCCAGAGCCTGGAATGAGGGTAATGAGCAGACGACGGCTACCCAGAAATGGGCTTATTTCCCGGCCACAATGCAGTGGGGCTTGGCGAATGAAGTGCAGCATATGCTTCTTGTTGGCTACTCTCCACGAAGCTTGACAGGAGATGATAACGACATCCCCGACGAGAAGAGGAACACAGGAGAAATCTGTCTCTGGAACTGCCTGACGGGTGAGAAGATCAAGGTCCTGACGGCATCCACACAGAACGTTTTCGAGGTTGTTTGGCATCCTACATTGCCTAGCTTCCTTGTGGCAACTTCGCCAGCCGGGTTGATGGTAGACGATAACACGATGACGCAAATTCGCGTCTTCCGACCTAGTCTGACGCCAGAAGGAGACACGGCATTTGGCGAGATCCAATGCCTGGATTGCCCGGCCCGCGACATCAACGAGCTTACCGTCAGGCCTAACAGTGCCATATACTCCTACGTGACAGCGGCCTGCACTGACGGTAAGGTCTACGTGTGGGATACCGCTCGCGGCGATAAGCCGATCCACGTCCTTAGGCATAAGAAGCCCATTGACGAGTTTTCCGGTGACCGGGAGGAGGCAGATGTCGGCGTTAAGTTCACCGCATGGGGAACTACGCCGGACCGCTTCTACACCGGTGGATCAGACGGTGTGGTCAAGGTCTGGAATGTGCGAAATTCACGGCACCCCCTAGTTCGGGATCTCTTGGAGGCTCCTGGTGCTATAGCATGCGGCGCCTTTTCCTCCTGTTTTTCGAGACTGGCTGTTGGAGACGCTACTGGAAGGGTTATGCTCCTATCACTGAACGAGAAGGACGAACCACCTGCCAAGTATGTCATGCCACCAATTCCACCTGGTGGGCGAACCGCCCGCCCAGTCCGTCGACCAATGCCAATCATCGAGCATGAAGAGCCTCTGGCCCCTTATCTGGATGACGAGCCTCATACGGGGGCCGAAAGAGGAAGAATGCTGCTAGCAAGTGGCCAGCTGGTCCGGCACCGAGACCCCACCGTTGGCGTGATTCAGGGGCCGGAGTATTCCACCCTCGGCCTTCACCGCTCCGAGCTTCACTTCGAAGGCAATCCATCCCAGCCCCTTTTAGCCAAGGTCGAGTGGGAGCAACAAGAGAACCAGAAGATGTTCCGCCGGAAATCGCTAAAGGTCAGCCGCTATCGGCCCCTACAAAACATGCTCTCAGCTGCCTGCGAGGTTCGACATAAGGAGAATATGGCGAAGGACCTAGATCTTCAGGGGCTGGACGAGATGACAAAAATAGACCTGCTCATGGACCAGGTGTGTATCGACGACCCTATCCACGACCAGGGATGGGATTTCGAATATGAGGAGGAGGTCGATTACGAGAAGAGCGCCTGGGCAGCGCTTTCAGGATGATTAAAGCATTTTTCGGCGTGCCCGGCGTGGCCTATGTAGGACATGAGCCTTCTTACCTTACGGGACCTTACGGGGCATTACGGTTAGTAGCGTCCTCGGAGAGTAGATATGTAGAATACCCCTGTTAAACAAATACCAAAACTTACGACTTCTTGCAAAAGCCCCTTTTATTGTATTCTGAAGACCTAATGTTCTGCTAAGTAAATACTAGAAGATAAATACTAGCAACTCTTGCATGGTACATGTAGGCCATGCTTAAGACAGGTCCGCAACTCCTTTTTTATTTCAGTCGTTCTAAGACCTGTATGAAAACGTGCTGTATCCCTTTGAATCTTGCTGTAAATACTATGCGGTTCTTGTTTGTCTAGGGTGCGTAGAGCGTTAAGTCTCACAAAGGATAAATCATTGTAAGAAGGGATCACTGCCTTATAGAAGCTATGATAAGTACCCTAGGAAGGTTAGTTTCTCTTAGTGTTGTGCGCCTACTTAACTGTTTACAGCAACAGGTATGTATGTGTCTAAGGCTTAGCTCTACTAGGCATCTTTGTTATTAGGGAGGACGAGGGAAGCCTAACCCTAGAGGCAGGTTGCTCTAATTGCCTTGTCTTGTTATTCTAAGTCGTCCACTAGTATTCGTTCAGAAATACGCAAGCAAGAGCGGTTCTGGTCGAGGGATAGCGTTAATAGCAGTTAGCCATACCCTCTTTTAAATCAGCTGAGGTAAGTATATAATTTACTAAGAGACTATATAACCTAGCTATAACTAAGAGAAACGTTAAAGACTTACTAGGTCTTAATATTAAGGCCTATTAAGGTTCTTCTAGTAGTGCTTATGGCTTTCTGTAACGCTTTTCTTGCGTAAGAAAAACATGCCTTCTGTTCTCTGGCTATGCTTGGCGTCGTCTCAAGTGTATTCATGCCAGAATAAGCTGAGAGAAGGGACGAGGTGTACTCACGACGATAGGCCAGTCTTATAGGCCAGCCACGGTGTGTGTCAATGATGCATTCGACCATGGACGTTGAAGACCCGCATCCGAGTAAGCTTGAAGAAAACGGGGCCCCATTCTCTTGGTGTTGCCGGAGCTGGACCTGTGCAATTTGTATCAAGGTATCCAGACTCTTGGCCCAGACGTCTCATGGACCGACTACGCGCTTCATGCCAGGCGTAGGACGCATACGTCGCACTTGCGAGATGTGACCTATGTGTCGATCACCCCGACTGGAGCAAAAGTTGAGCTTTGGAATCTGACGGGCTTGTACACGGCCCAACTCGAATTGTTCTTGTAGCACCTTGCCTGAACGTTCTGAAGACTTCCTTGGAGCCTCTCCCTCGCCGCAGGCCGTTTACTCTCTCCAGCGCAAACAAAGCCGCTGGGTCTCAAACTCTCCCAAGATGCAGGACCCTCAGGAGCGCTGCCGCCTCGCCATCGACGCAACCTCGCCCGCATCGGCTTCACTTTTGTCCACAAACCCGAACCTCTCATACAGCCCCTTGCCAGCCTTGCTCGCATCCACATACGCCGCGACCCCGTTCTCGTCCGCGAGCCCGCACCCCCATTCCAGCAGCATCGACCCGGCACCCCGTCGCTGATAGTCGGGGTGCGTCACCAGCGTATCCAAATCTGCTCTCCCATGTTAGCAAGCAACCCAGATCGCGAACCCCTATCGGACGCGGGGCAACAGTCTCCTCTCACAGTAATGCTTCTCCTCCCCATGACCCGGCCCCTCTCCCTCTCCTCCTTCTCGAAGAACGCGTCGAACACCTCGCCCGGCATGTCCTCGCAGCAGGGCGGGTACCGGCGGCCCCTCTGCGCCGGCATGGACGTGTCCCACTTCGACCACGCCGCGATCCTCGCCCGCCCGCGAGCGTCCGCGCTGCCCGGGTCGACAACCTTGACGAAGCGCTGGAAGGGCTTGGCGAGCATGTCGTCGCGGTTGGCGCCGTCCCACCACGCGCGCACGCGGGGTGTGTCCGGCCAGAGGCGGGCGATTTCCGGGTCCTGTGCGAAGGCGGCGAACCAGACCTCCGTGAGGGCCGGGACGTCTTCGACGGTCGCGGGTTCGAGGATGAGAACGCTTGCGGTTGGCATGGTGTGTGGTTGAGATAGTCGTTGGCGGAGGGCGATAGAGTTTGCGATGAGGGAGATAGGTTTACTTATTAGGTGAATGGGTAGGTGAGATATTTACAGAGATGAGTCCGTCTATCAGGGGTCTCTTTTTGAGAGCTGTTGATGAGAGCGTATTGATAGGATCTGATTGATCTTGTCATCCTCTGTGGGTTTTACACAGCCACAATAATACGTCAACCTGCTTGAGAGGACCTCGTATTGCAGAGCTCGTCAACATGGAATCTTAGCATCACAGCACCTTGGGTTCTGGGCGGCAAATCCCAGGAAACGCCGACACTCATTGAGTTGAATGTGGAGCTGTTCTGGACTGTTGGCGAAGCCGAAGTAGAGTGAGGATTTGGTGAACGAATGCGCTTGTGTAACCAAGTGTATTGGGTGAGCGGGTTGATGTGGGGCAAAGCCGAACTTGTTTGACGAACGTTGGTCTCGTAACAGCAAATCAGACAACGAAGGTTTGCTTGTCTCACTGCTTTGCCTTATGGATATCATGGAGTAATTCGAGAGACGTAAAAAAGCTTTGCTTCTTGAAGCTTTCGATATTCAAGTTTAGCATGTTGAGGATGTGATAAATTTATTTGGTCACAAAGCTTTAGCAGAAGCGGCAATTGTGAGCAACTAGTTGTTTGGACCTTCCGAAGACCCATGTGTTTTCAGGGGTCAAATGATATAACCCGTTTCTCCCCGCGGCTGAGGTATTAAAAGACACAAGTATCCAATGTAAATCGTGGGCTTGAGCGTAGTCTTGCGAAATCGCCAACGTTGGGCCTGTTGATGGAGATGCTCAAGCTTGCCCCAGATCCCGAAAGAAAGCGACCGCAATGCCCAATGCTGCAGCCGAAAACCCGACATTCGTCCACTGTGCCGCTCGTACTCCGTATAGAAACCCAGGAGAGCCCGCGAACCCATTACCATCCTCCTCGAAGCTCTGGGTGCTCGTCTGGATTGCGGTCGCAATCGCGAGGCCCAAGGCACGTCCGACATTGTTAGCGCTTTGAAGCAGCCCACTGCCCAACCCCTGATCAGCGGAGGGCAGCCTAGCAGCAATGAGCAGACTGATGACAGGCCAGACAACTTCGATGCTGAGGCATAAGCACATGGCGGGGAAGCCATAGGCCCAATAGGATGTACTCGGCGGGATAGGAACGGCCATGATGAACGGGGATAATACGCCGCATACCAATCCAAAAATGAGAATGTAGAAGGCACGGAAGCGAGAAAGGGCTGGAGAGACGACAAAGGATATGAGAAACCCAGCAATACCAGCAGGCAAGAAGCGCAAAGTAGTGTCGAGCTCACTCAGTGCAAGGTAATCTTGGTAGCTAAGCCAGATCAGTAAAACTCAGTCCCCACACATATTGACTGACACAATTATCAAAAAGGTAGAACTTACAAAAAGGTAACAAAAACTAAGAAGCTGTTAAACGATGCGTAGAAGAATCCAACCAGCACAAATAGCGCTGAGAACTGGAGATTCTTGAACATGGAAATCCGTAGTAAGGGTTCCTTTACTGGGTCCTTCTCAAGGCGATGCTGCCAGAAGCAGAAGCCAACAAGAAGCAAGATGGACCCAGCAATGAGCGGCGGGATCCAAGGCGTCGACCAACCGATTACATTAGCCTGGGTGAAGGCCGCAAGCAGCAACACCAAACTGCATGAGACGAGAGCGCCACCGATCCAATCCACAGACCTAGCGCGACTTCCCTGGCTGCTGTTTGCTGTTGAGTTGGTAGAGGACGATCGAAGATGAGGCGTGTTGGTAATGAAGTAGGCTAGCATGGTGGCAACGGCTGCCAGTATCGCAGGAACCCAAAACACCCACTGCCAAGATAGTAGACCGCCAATCACACCACCAAAGATGTTACCCAGAACGGACCCAACTGAGGCAACGGCTGCGATACATACGTACGCGTTGTTGCGGGCCCGGCCGCGGGGGAATGTAGAGGCGATAATACCGATCCCTGAAGGGATCACAGCGGCGCCGCTCATGCCCTGCAGAAAACGGACGATATGGAAGGGAATCTCGTACTTAGTGAATGGTAAACACAAGTTAGTCAGACTGAAAAGACCAGAGCCGACAAGGTAGACGAGTCGGCGGCCATAGACGTCGGCGATCCGGCCCCAGAGTAGCATCAGGCTGCCAGTTGAGATGTTGTAAATGGAGACAACAATCTGCTGGCGGGCGGGCGGTATACCGATCGCTTCTGACATCGAGGGCAGCAGTATAACCACTGACTGCACATTGAGGACCTATGATGAAAGTGTGCCCGGGTCGATTAGCCTTCGAGACCAGACTATCGTCCACCTGAAGGAGAGTGGCAGGAAAAAGATCGTTTGAAGAAAGAGAACAAGGTGATAGACGAACAGTGAGTAGTCCAGCAGTCGAAATAACGGTTGTCAGAAGTATGGCTCTCCATCTGGGCAACTTGGGAAAGCTTTCAGCAATCTCCCCGTCGGCCGCATCATGGACCTTGGGGTTGGTAGTTCTTGTGGATTGCCAACGGCGCCGAGGTTTGTAACTTTTGAGACGGGGATGCCGTCGGGTTTGGTTATATCATCGACCGGAGAGAGAAGCCCAGGCATCTTGGCCCCGAATGTCACCACAGGTAAGATACAAGTGAGACGTCTAACAGTGTCGTTGAGTTTAGCGGCCAGTCCGTGGTTTAAGTAATAAAACCGAGAACGATGTAGACACGAGTAGGAAATTTTGATAGTGTAAACTTCGAATTAAGTGGCAATGTGTTGGATCACTGTGTTTTACGAGCCAGGCAAAAAAATAAGCGCCAAGTTATTGCGTGATTCCTAGGGTGCTTCGCGGAAGCAGAGAAACCTAGCACCAACATCGTACCTGCCGTTTATTATTGAACGGTTACTAGGATATGGCTTGGTAGAGAAATGGCGAGTACTGGTCTTTTGTCACAAACGACGTACAGAAACGAGAATTCAAGAACGAGAATCTGAGAATTTCTTTCTGTCTCTCACGGCCCGGCCAAGGCTATGGTGTGGCCCTCACTATTTGAGGACAAATTGAGTACGCCGGCTATGAATGAGCTTTTTCGAGTTACGAAGCTCTCTTCGTCTTGCCGAAAGGGTCTTGACTCACATTCAGGCGCGTTGATACTCATCCGCACAAGTTTCCCTGGGCTTTGGAATCATGTTCATCTTTTAAACAGACTAGATTCCATATTCAATACCTATGGCTTTCACAACACGTCTTTGCTTATAAGCCCCTGCTGATTGTCACGGTGGCCATCATAGCTTGGTCTCCTGTACATCGCAGGCGAACCACGCCCTCAAATTCATCGACCAGGGGTTCCACTGCGAACCACCCAAAAAGTGAAAAAACCCTCTTGGCGTCCGAGTCGCAGACCACAGCCACAACCATTTTAACTCGAGAGCTGTTTCGGAAGGGCGAGATGTTTGGTGCCTTTACGAATGCCGAGGCCGAGGAGTTCCGTGCTTGTGTTGACTCTTCAGGGAAAGATGAGGCCGCTTTGTTGTAGAGGTTGTACTGGTAACTTATCAATGGCACTACGACATAACATACAGGCATTTGATTAGTCAACAGCCCTCAGTCTTTAGGCCCATCTCGAATTCGCCAATGATCAATTCTTGCCTGCCACTAGACATATTGATCGGTGGGGATGATGTTCGAGACAGTCGATCTTAGTCGGGCGCCAATGGCAGCTAAGGGAGGGCTTTATTATTGTTCACAAGACTGCGGTCGAGGTATTTCAGCAAGACTAGGATTTCTCGAAATGCCACCAGCATCGAATTTCGTACGTACTGTAGTTCGCTGCCTCCTTTATAATCGTGCTGCCCTTGAATATTGGACCAGAGGTGTTTCTTTTACTTTTTGACGCCTCGAAAGTCCGATATCGCGAATGGAATGTATTTAAATTACGAAGGGTAGGGCTCGGTTGTGCGCCTGGAATGGACCAAGGCCATGTTATACATTAACATGTGTTGCAAAACGCCATCTGCGAAAACCGCTTATTCTTCAAGCCGATCGACCTTCACGTATTTGAGGGCAACCCTCAGACCTCATCAATTCTATTTCCCCGTTCTTCTTCCGCTTCAACGACGGTAATAGACAAATCAAGACTTTCCTTATCCCCCTAAGATGAGTTTCTTCGATTTAGGCAACCTCCTTTTGGACGGCCCAGAGGCTATACCCCTGGCCGTGCCTGCCGCCCTCCTTCAAGTGCCGGCTTTCAGCCCCTTCCGGTTCACGCACTGCTCCGAGATCAGTGACACCGACCTGAAGAAGATATTCTACACGTCAAGGTCCGGAATAAGCCCAGCCGAGTGCCAGGAATTTTGCGCGGCGGAAGGCTCTCATTTCGCTGCGTTGGGTCACGGCAAAGACTGCTACTGTTCCTACCTCACGGCCGGGCACGAGATGTATCCTTTTCTCGTGCCCGACCCCAAGATCGCGGACTTCAGCCAATGTAACTTGCCGTGTCTTAACTTCGAGCACTTGGCATGTGGTGGTAAACACGGCGATAAGCATATATTCAACATCTACGGTGTCTGCACAATTGTGTCTCCAATTCCTACTACGTCCTCTAGCTCGAATATATCATCCACAACATCTAGCACCTCAAGCACATCTACCATACCCTCCACCAGCTCTTCTGAAAGTACCGTTACCCCAACAACGTCCACAACGTCTGGCACCTCAAGCACATCTACCACACCTTCCACCAGCTCTTCTGAAAGTACCGTTACCTCGACAACGTCGTCCGAGACATCTGTTACTACCACTACTTCGACCAGCAGCTTTGTAACCGTGGAAAACATCTCCAGCTCCTCGAAGAGTGTTAGTAACTCGGGTGTTTCGAGTACCACAATGACGCCAAGCACCGATACCCAATCCTTTCCTCAAACATCCACCGGCAGCTCCAGCTTCTCCAGCAAAGAAGCATACTTCACCAGTGCCACTCCTGTGGTAACTCCAAGCAGCTCCATAACATCTAGCATGTCCCAAGTAACAGCCACTTCTCCGCAAACCCTGCCAAGCTCCATAACTCCGTCTGCAACAACATTAGTGAGAGCTACTTCGTCGCCATCATCCATGCAGACAGAACTGCCGTTCCCGCTCCCAAGTTCCTCATCGATCTTTGCGTCGATTTCACTGACAATATCGTCCTTTGATGGGATATCAATTCAGCCTACGACTGTTCTGCTGCCAACTCCTTCAATGTCTACTGTACTCTCATCAGTCGGTTCTATCAGCACACCGGTGATACCATTCGGAGTTGAAATCATCTTTACTATTCTTCCCTTCGATGCACCACCTCCAATACCAACATCTTCGGTTTAAGGAAGCAATGATGGGCATCTTGATTGTTTCTGAAATTGTCATGCGACCTCAAGCAAGGATCCAGTCTCAGTCCGTGTCGTGGGGACCCCAACTTGTGGTTTCTGAGAAGACCTGATACCAACTCAGGAAGGCGGAGTGGTTGGGGCTTTAGAGAGTACATTTCCTCTTATACCCTACTTGACACGTTATCAACGAAGGAATGCATGACACTGGGAAAACTTAAGTATTCTAGGATATATCAGGAGGAGTCTGCAATCAAAGTTTCGGTATCTTGAAATCGAGTACCAGCATTTTACATGCCATTGAGTTTAACATGATGCTCTGGCTTGCGGTATAAATCAGAAAACACTTCAGTTTGCGACTGTCACCACAGTACGGAACAGAGATGAAGAATATCGTGACAAGTGGGCTGCACGGTACTGATCCTCTGTTGCTACAACCCGTTTATCTCGTTATGGAAGATCATTAAGACTGACTGACTTCCTCTTACTTTAACAGCTTCGTCCACACCAATTGTCTCAATGACCATCTCACCCACCGGCTCGCCCTGAGTGAATGATTGCCCATCTCATGTTGACAATTTGCTATTACCTATGTTCACGTGAGGCGCCGTTATCCTCCAATCCTGGTCATCCAATGGGCTGGGGTGGATTTATGGTCGCCCGTTTATGATTAGGCTTACTCAGAAACGAAATTTGAGCTCACCACGACTCTCATGACCACGATACAAAATGATCTTATTACTTAAGGACATTCTGAACTTGAAGAAGTGCAAGATAATGTTGGTCCTGGCAATGTAGGTGAGGATAATCCAAGGGCTGTGAGAATTGCGTACAAGATGCTAGGCTGGGTTTTGGGTCCTATAAACGAAGGGTTGCTCATGGGCTTAGTTGTGCGTTTGTTGATCTGGAGAAATAGTTAGCAGAGATGGATGGGCTTTTCCTGAGAAGAAAAGGAAGGCGCTCTGGCCGATCGTTGAGGAGGAAGGATATTTGATGAGGATACTGGAGCTGCTCAAAGATAACGCTGTCGGATTCGGACACTTTGTACAGGTATATGAGTTTGGAAGAGATGAGACTGAGAGGCTCTAGAGGTAGAGGGAACGCCATAGTGGTAGCTATGAAGACTGAAGCTAATTACCCCGCTTTTCAAACAATTAAGTTATCCGATCGATCATCAGTCAATGAGCAATGGAAATAGAATAGAGATATTCGTGATTGAACGCAAGCTCTATGCAAACACCTTGGAGACCAGTTTCTCAACATGCACCGTACAGTTTTATGCTACTGCAATCAGGGAAGTCAATGGACGATTAGTCTAGTCGGGTATCTACAGCACGTTTTCCCTCCTGAGAGGTGGAGGATATTTGTCCCGCTCCGCTCTCTAAGCACTATCACCATTGTCCGACCTCAGCGCCATAAGTGATACGATAATTCAAAACACCAAGCTCGCGCATCATCTAGCATGCATTTCCATTGACGGCTGGCTGTAGTATCCTTGAATGATCGGATCTTTGGCCTGGCGGTCAAGTACCTCTCTTTCATGCTGAATGAGAGCTGACGAGAGGCACCAATAGGATGCACAACAGTCCCTCGCATCACTGCCTTTAATGCCGTAGAGCCCACGAACTTTAGCACGCTTGTGCATAACGTACCTTGATTCAAATACTAGTTAGCTAGGATTTCACAACCTTATTTGACCTAGTGCACCTGTCATGGGGAATTGCAACACTTACACCCAACCAAAGCCAGTGAAAAAGGTGATGCCCGTCATCAGTGCACACTCACGATTGATCGGTGTGTAGCTCTCCATGGATGGCTCTCGCAAACGGTGGGACGTCTTGCCGAGAACTTTAGGACTCTGTCAGTAATAGTTATCAAGACGGATGGTTCAGCGACAGCGTACGGAGGCAAGGCAAGAATGTGCCCATCAGACAGAGATCGCAGGAAGCGCAGCAGCCACATAAGGTGTGATGCCATTCATCACTGTGGGCGACTTGACCCTCATGGTAGCGGTTTTGAGCGCCTTGATCCGAAAGGGGATATTGTTGGGGGCAGTTGCCTTGTTGGAGCTGCATTCCCGCCTGTGCCATTGTCCTCTCGGAGTAATCAAGGGGGGCCTATTTCGCCCCGAAGAACCAAGCAGAGAAACGCGTTTGGAGTCGGTACCTCGTGGAATCGCACGAATAAGTATACTGCAGACGAAAAAGCGCAAGGAACACAAAACTATGAATTTCATGCGTCATGCTGAATATAAATTAGAAGAATGCAGGAAATCAGAGATCGCAATCAGCATAGAAAACTACAGGACTTGAAAGTAGGGATTCTATCGAGCGCCGGATTCCGGACTGGAGTTATTGGATGCCCGTCACTTGGTTGCGCTTGATGAGCTGTTTAGGCACAATAGCCCTTGGTAGGGAGTGTTTTGCCGTGCCGTCTCCGCGCGTCCCGCGACAGGGCAAGTACAGCTGAATAGTAGTTTTATTTCACTAAGCGGACGGTCGACGGGTTTTTCGGGCTTGGTGTGGGGCAACTCTAAACTTTAGGTATTTGCGGCGGTGCCTGTTAGCGGTTGGGAGCGCCGCTTCGCTGTAGCCTGCCCAAGCCGCCGGATCCGTGTAGGCTCTCGTCACGGGCTGCAGGTACAGCTACAGCCTCAAACCACCACGACTGCTTCCTCTTGCAAGTGATTGCCCCTACTTTAACTAGATGTGCTATGAAGGAACAACGATTGGTACCGTGAATGATGTGGTTGCTGTGACTAGTAGACCTAAGAGACCTACCAAGACCAAATCAGGCATCGCCTAATAGACAAAAGTACTACCTTTCCTCCTGATCTTTATCTACTGGTTATTGAAAAGTTAAGATATTTGCCTCTTAAAACCCATAGGAGGTCTATAACCTTGTCTCTTTTTACGTATTTAATACCTATGAACATGGGAGCAATCCAGAATCAGCCAGACATCGCCTGTATCAGAAAGGGTTGCCTCGCCACTGAATTGACGGTGTTGACTTATCAGGCTTCATGCAGGGCGTTAGTTAGCCCAAGCTGGAATTCAGGTGCTGTGCTGTCGGAAATGGTAGAGTCGGGCTCCGAAAGGAGTATCAACGACGCGCGGAGCCATCTGATGCTGCTTCGACTCTATCATGTCCCTTGTGCCGCTGCCTGCTGCCTCCCGGAGGCCGCGCGTCCTGATTGTAGTAACAAGTAAAACGCTGCAAGCCACCGTGCGTCAATAGTTAAGTGACAAAAAACGTCCGACAAATTATGTCGTGTTAGTGTCCGCCAAGGATTCTGAGGCGTAATTTCGAAGATGGAACTACTATACACATTTATTCGACCACAATACTTGAATCGTGTTCTAAACGTGCCGCAAGACTTTTATTCACTTTTTAAGTCATGCCTTCTGGAAAATCTGTTTCTCATAAACTGCCTTATTACCCGTCGGAAGCAGTCCCTAGTAGAGATCTACCACATGACGAGGATGGTAGAGCGACGCAGAAAAACAAGCGCACCGCCGCGCATCGATAAGGAGTACGAATGGGAGAAATACAACTGAGGTATGATCTTAAACCAACCGCCGCAAGACAGTGATAAGTTGGGCTTATTAATCGGCATCCAGAATTTCTCAGCAGTTGTTTCCGCATCACCACATGCGATTACTGGTGACTACCGTCTTGAGGTGCGATTGACCGTCATATCTCCCACCCTTCACCGTCTCCAGCACCAGTCCATTGTCCTTTGTACCCATCGTGTGGTTCTATCAGCAGGAACTAGAACTGTCGGAAACCTTACTGTCACAAATGGCTCTTGCTCTTTCTTGATGTCAGGTTTTGAGCATAGTCCACGGCACTATGAGAGTTTACATACAACAGTATTGAAGCTTCAAACCTCTCTGTTTGGACTCCGCAGGAAGAAGGTGATTCTCTTACCGTGTAACACTCTCAACCGGGTTCTAGCTATGGAAGTAATCTAACGTATGTCAACAATGCCGGCATTTCCTCTCACTAACAAGCTGATGATGACAGCTGCTCATCGAGGGCTTCAGAAACAGGTCAGCTAAACCAACACAGAGATCAACCTCTCCTCGTTCAACGAAACTCGTTTGCGAATCCAGACAGATATGAAGTGTTCGTGAGTAGCTATTGAGTTGAAATAAGAACATCAATAGAATACTGGCGCTTTTCCTGTACATTTCGGCCGCCAATGTAGCGCTTAAGCGGTTGGGACATGAGCTACAAAGTTGGAAAGCGGACTCCGCGGATGGACTAGTTAGTCTTCAGCGCTAATGTACATTGCAAGCCAAAGTGTCACTCACAGCACCGGCACGGAGGAAAGCTCCACTTTTGAGTGGCATGCCCCGCTGGTGTTAGCCACAAATGGATGTTCAATGACCTCGTGATTTCAACGAAGCGACGCTGATATAGGTAGTTATTGATTTTTTGACTCCCAGTACCATTTTCTCGGTGCGCAGATTTTTTCCCCGAGGACACCGAAGGCCTGAGACTCAGCTTTGCTCTAGCACCTTTAATCAAATTGAGCCGGCAGGCTTGAGCACAAATTTCTTATGTTGAAAGGTATTTCAAGAAGACCATCATCCCTCGCGATTTGCGAACAGATGTATGTGTCTTTGCAATAGCTGCAGATGAACAGTTCCAATATTTCAAACCAGAGCGAGGAGATCTCGCAGTCGCACCACGTCTCTGTCCCTGCTGATACGTCGAGAGCTGACGTTCAGTCTTATTTCAGCCACAACCATACTGCGACGAAAATCACAGTATGTTTCCTCTGATCCCATAATGAAACTGTAGAGATCTGACCCCTGATTTTCTCCTGTGCTACACAACCAGACATTTTTGGCAGCCTAGGTCTCATTTTTAAGACATTGATTGTACAAGAAACTGCTCGAATGGTCGGCAAGACTTCGGGTGAAAATTGGTTCAAGAAGCCAGTCAATAGTAAATCTACTGTAGGCTCATTCGCTTTTCACGATATATGAAGCATGCTAATGACATCCAATGAAGGTCCTACAAGAATCTTTCATCGAAAAAACACCACAAATGTGCAATATCATCAAGCTACAGCCCCACCCGAAGCCAATCAAACAGATTCGGTCCGACTTACGAATGAACTCTATGTCCAGGAATGAACCACAAGAACACGATTCATACAAGAAGCTAGAAAGACCTGATCAGTCCGTAGACGAGCTTCTCAACGGCCGGAATGCATCTGGGGTAGTTATGAGCAGTAAGATTGGCCTATCATGTACCTGGTCGGAAATGGCACTTGCGCTTGTCCAGTTACTGCTTGCAGTTTGGACCAATTACTGTATCCTTGAAAATCTCGCTATTCTGTACTCCAAGTGGAAGGTATAAGTATGTAGTTGATTAACATAAACTTTAATGGAAATCCAGCTAGCGTTTCGTGGTTTTCGTGTTGTGGAAATTGGGGCAACGTCGTTGTGAAATTGAGCATGGGCTCCTTGGCCTATTTATTCCTACCTTTGGTCCATTGGTTGCACCAATTGTGTCCGGGGCGCGCGGCATGCGGAAAGCATCGCGACTGGAAAATAACGATATGGAACGAAAACACCACCGTAGATTCCATAGTCAGCAACGTAAGGGCACAAGTTATTTCTCCCAACTTCTCCATCTAGTCTTCATCTTCGCAACCAAATCGGACTTCTCTAACATTGTGTCCCATTGCTCTGATTTCTAGACATTTTCTGCAGAAAAGACCGACACTACCACTTTCACGAGGGTAAGCGCGAAGAGGCAACAGCTGCCTACAAGTTCTAGACATGGACGGAAGTCAGTCAAATGCCAGCAACAACAGGGTCGCTCCTGATAATAGTTTCGAAAATCACATTGAATCGCCACCAGTGAACCCTCGTACACATATCCGCAAAGCTGTAAGTAATCTATCGTTCGTGTCTCTGTCGGGAACAATTCCAGCTTGGCCACCCAACTAATCATCGGCTCAAGTGCGATGTCTGCCGCTCTCGCAAGGTACGCTTATTGACTATCGCTCCTTCTCAATCCGCCGCTTCATGTTCCAATACTTGGTTCCAATACTTGGTTGAATCTAGCCTTGCGATTCTCAGTTTAGACACTAACGATTACTTTCGTCTAGATTCGTTGTGACAAAGGATCACCCTGCTCTTATTGCATTAATGCCAGGCTCAAATGCTCGCATACTGAGAGTGAAAAGCCAAAAGAGAAGCGAACAAGAATTCTCATCACCGCACAATAGTCAGCAATTTCACTGTTTTGCCTTGCACCTGATATCATGCGAAACAGTTCGCTGCTGTCAACAACTGACTAACACAGATGTTGCAGTGAAAAGAAAATTGACCAGATTGATCGCCGTCTTGAGGTGGTTGTTCGCCATCTACAAGACATGAGGATGCCATCATCCGCCAATGGCATCCTCGATGACGACGAGAGCTTGACTAACAGCAAACCACGAACTGGACCTATGCTCTCATCCGCCCAGCGGCAGCCGACTATATCACCACCCGACAGCCACGGTCTGCGGCCCGATATCAAAGATGCCGCTTGTGTCGAAGGCGATTCTTCCTTAGCTGCTCATTCCGAATTCGCCAGCGAATTCCTCCAAAACTTCATGAGAACCGAGTCACTACAAGATTCGAGCCTTGATGTTAGCGAAACCTTGAAGGCCCTTTCTCAGATTGTCCAGGCCTTGAAACAGCAATCCCTTACTGGATCAGCGGCTTATCCCCACGCAAGACTGATCAACAAGCCTCAATTGCAAACGCTCAAGCTGCCGCCAATCGACAAAGCTGTGCATGTCATTCGCACCGCTGAAGGTAAGAAAACAATCAGTGGCACGATTTGTGACATGGTGTTTCATGCTGATGTGTGCTGAATTTCAGGCCGGCGCCTCTCGGGTATGGCTTGGATCTACGACTTTCTACCATCTCGTTGCTTCCCAGACTTGTGCCTTGAAGTTTATTATTCCGAGAGCTATTCGGAGTACGATTTCATCGCGGTTAACGGTGGCCTTTATTCTCTCTTCGTAGACTGTGCAGCACAAGTCTCAGCGGACGAGCGAGAGGAGTACCATGAATACGCAAGGTAAATTATACGTACTATTGGGTAATAATACCAGAATGAACTAACATCGAAAGAACATGCCGCGAAAACCTGGAGACTTCATTAACGAATCTCCCACTTCATTTGCCTGCAACATCCAATGTAATCGTGGCTCTTCTTTTTGGGGTAGGTATACTTGATTCACTTGTCTATAACTGGAGCCTCAGTTAACGTAAGAAAGACGTTTTACGCAGTCGAGATCTCGAAGCCATCGCTAGCGTGGACCCTCTGTTCAAAAGCTTCCGAACTTTGTCAGACTTTGGGTTACCATCAAGTGGAGTCTCTCAAGAATCTTGGAACATCCAATGATGAACGTAAGCCTACGATCCATGGAATGCATTGGCATCAGTTTCTCTTTTGGAGCGTATACTGCATCGAGAAAAGTCTATCTCTCCGCCTCGGTAGGCCTTCGACGATTCGAGACTGGCATATTACTATGCCTGAGCCTTCACTCCAAGGATCGGTGAAAATCTCAATACTACCATACTTTGTTCTTTGGATCCGAACGGCGAGATGCCAGGGACAGATCTATGAAATGCTCTACAGCCCAGAATCAAAGACCCAGCCGTCATACATCCGCCAGATGCGCGTCGATGAGCTGGTCTCCATGGTCAAAGAGATTGAGACACAAACACAAAACACCAATGTTAGTAGTAATACCTTTTCACTTTGAAATTGACTGCTGAGGTTTTCGCAAAGGAAAAATTTCGAGCGATAGCAAACGAGCTTGCTGAGGAGCATTTGATAGAGTTTAACCTTTCTTCTAATTATGTTTTGCATCTTACACTTCTCACGCAAATCTATCAAGCCGCTCCACGTGCCGAAGGCTGCCAAACGACCTTCAATCCCGAATGCGTTAGGGCCGCGCAAGCTGCACTCGACAAGCATCGAGAGTGTGATGCGATCATGCGCAAGTTTCATGATATTTATCTTGCAACTTACATCAATTGGTAGGCTGAGGTAAACTAATCTTGAAACGGGTTCTTCGCTAAATTCTTGAGTAGGACTATCCTCATTGCACCAATCGTTCCATTCATTGTCCTCTTCTGTCAAGTGATTGAAACTCTAGATACCCAAAACTTGGCACGGCTTCACTATTTTGTTCTCTTTCTACAGGAAACTTCTACCCTGTCCGAAGCGGCAGCAAAGACGCACCGTCTTTTTCAAATACTTTACAGCGTTGCTCTTCGCTTCGTGGAGTTTCGCACTGAAACACCGCAGTTTACGCAATTGCAAGCGAGTGCCGAATTAGACTCCCACCTTGCGCTCTTGGGTTTCCCAGTCACTGGCATCGGCAATGGACATCAGCAGCTCCAGCCTATAACCGAGTTCCATCAAAGTGAGAGTACGCCGCCAGAGTTTACTAATGCTATGAATATTGCGGGGATAGGGAGCGGTCACATGGACTGCGGCTTGAGGGTTGGCAATACGATGATGCGGATGACCAGCGCTGCTCAGATGGAGGATTTCTTTTACAATAACCAGGCGATGATGGATATTTTGCAAGGGTCAGGTTTTAGTGCTGCTTAGTATGGAAAAACAATGTACATCTACTTGACAGTATACATCTGTTTCCCTTCTTGTTCCTCGTTTTACTGCTCTAGCTCGCTCGGTTGCGACTGGGGGCGATAGACCCGAGGTCATGACGTGAAGCTCCGATGCCTAATCTTTTCAGAGTCTTGGTCTACGAGATACCAGGTCAGGCACCTAAGCTTCTGTGTTGGTAAGAAAATAGCACGGTTGGATCAGGCATATATATATATATATATATAAAACTATATATTTTTTAGAAAAATGCGCAGGTCGGATCGGCCGAGTTATTTTTCTCTTAGACAGTCTTTTCTAAGATGTTTTTTCCTGTACAAGGCGTCTCAACCATAGCAAAGCAGCTAGAGAGAGTTGAGCAGCAGTTCAAATTAGGTAAACCAAACAGTCACTGCCTAAATAACAAAAAAGTTTAAATAAAAAAACTTAACCCTGATATGTTGGTGATTGAGTAGATTCTAAGGTCTAATATTCTTGTCCCACTGAAACATTTGGAAGAGAGGTTATGCCTCGACCCGCCCAGTAAATCAAATTGCAGTCTCTGGACGACTGGACAGCATGATTCTGTTCCTAGGAACCCCGGACCTGATAGTATGCAATTTTCTTTCCCTTCTACTAGGAAGGTCTGCTTGCTTTCCAGCCATTATCGAACCAGGGTGCACAACGTTGAAGATAGTCGATACAATCAGCATAAGTAGCGAGTCTAAACAGTACTGATACGCTTCATGGCGAGGAATCGAACTGTTTAAACCAGAGGAATACTCAACCAGACGGAAAATGATACGAGTCTGCGAATCATTCAGGTCAACACGAAATCCCATGACCCGTTTCGCGCCCAGGACAGCATTTCCTAACATACCGATATTAATACAACCGCAGTGACCAATACGTAGAGCAGACAGAGGGCTTTCTGAGGTAAAGCCCCACGAGTTTCATTGTAGAAACGTAATGCAAAATATAGAAATAAACATATGAAAAGTTGCTGGATGCTAATTCCAGCCATATAAGTGTGCAATCCTTGATGGTAATGTTAGCCAAAGCGTGACAGCTGCATCGATAGTCTTACCTCTTAGAATTGTACTTTGGGGGAATGTACGTCGGATGCCGTGGCTGCTCCATAGATCTGCACCACTGCGGCACTGTCGGCATAGATTAGCATTCGTGGCCGTATAGTATAAGATTTCAACAACTTGCATGATGTCCAGAATGACAAAGAACTGCCCGAGTCTCCAAGCGCTGAATCCCAAGAGCTTGCCAGTCTCGCTGTAATTCCAAACCATCCGGCCCAGAATCATATACACGAAGGCATTTGTCCAGATCGGTGCAATCTTGAAAGCATTAGTAATATGTTACCAGTGTAGTTTTGGACGAGAATAACACGTATACCAAGATTAGGACAAACCAACCGGCATATAAACCCAGGCTGTCCGGGTTTTTAATACTGAGTATACGAAGGATGTACGCAAGGGCTTGGAGCAGTCCGCTCGTTGCCATTGTCCAGCAATAGAGCTTGCGGTAGACAATAGCTTGGATACTGTGTACAAGTGTTGCCAGCGCAAAGGCGACCAGCATTATGCAGGCAGCCGGTATGTTTGGGCAAAAGTCCCACATGGTATTTGGGACGTCTAGGGCTGGATAAGATGTAATTAGAGCAGCTGCAGATAAGGCAGAAGCCGTTACTGACCTTGACATATTTGGGGCATATCGGCGCGTGTTTCTGAACAAGGTTAAGGGGCTGTGGAGGGTCAGTAACGATATGGAAGATGTACAGTCGAAAGTGAGAGATGTTGATTTATTATTTGGCAATCCGAATCCAATATTCAGTATGATTGAGAGTAGAGAGGTCATATTTAGATCTGCTGGCACTTAGTATTTCTATTTAAGGGAGATTCCACTCGTCCCGGACATTTCGGACCTTTCTTCGTAGCCAAACGGAGCGGCAGTTCAACTAGCTGGAAGTGGCAGAGACCTCTCCACAACGGCCTCGCTGTTGTTGTACTATCCGAGTAAGTTACGGAACATCAAACCCATAATAAGTTCCTGGTCTTTTCGGTATTACGTATAACAGGGCAATTGGACCTAATTATTGTTTCTCTATTCCTCGTATAACTTCTCCGATGTTGCCCACCCCCTTAACGCCACTTACCCACACTGCTCGTGAGGAACGTTGTTTGGCGCCACCATGGCTCAGCGTCAATCACATTAGCTTGCCAGCCGTGGTTTTGATCCATCACAGACCTTACACGATTAGTTCTCAATAGGCAATAACAATAATGCATCATTCATCTAATCGAAGTGTTGGTATGTCCATTGTTTTAGATAGTCATTCAAGATCCTTTCTATGACAGAATTGCCAATCACTCTCCTAATGTGACGCGTGAGAAGACCAGGAGCCCTAAGTCCACAGCCTATGTTAAATGATTCTGGGCAGCAAGGCAACGTTATCATGGTCGGCTATCCCGTTAATTGATTTGATTATGATGAGGGTCGCACCAGTCCACGCAACGGTACCCTCGGAGACGGCGGCACCCTATAGACTTACTTCCGTGGGGATTCAATAGATCTTTTTACCGTTTTTAGCCGTCGTGGATTTTGAGTGTAAATGTTTACGCCAATTGCAGAACTCAGATACGTGTCTAATTTCTAAAAATTAAGGCGATATGTACCGCAAAAACAAATATTACGATAGGGTGAAATGGCCTTGCACTCATAGTTAACACCTTATCCCCTGGCCCGATAAACGAGGGATTGTGTTATGGACTTATCGTTAGCCGACGACATTAGAGAAGAGCTCTAGAAAATGCCGTGGCTTGTCATATCCTGGCCAAACGGGTCGTTTATAGAACCCCGTGTGAAGGGTGTGGATATCTGCTGCCGTCAGGCCGTAATGCGCCGACATTATTGTGTTGCCTAGCTTCTAGACTTCTACCTAATGAAATTGCCATACATCACCCCTGAGTTTCAAGCAAAAATCAGTAAAGGGAATTGGTTAATTACTCGGCTCATCATTACCACCAAGTTATGACGTTCACCGCCCCTGTTTACAAACAAGTACCCAGCACCGAACACCGAGCACCGAGAACCGAACACCGAGGATCGTCAACACTCATTTTCTCAATCTTTGCAAGCTGGTGACGTATTCACGGGAACGACGAACAATTCTTTGTGTACCACTTCTCGATTTCGTTCAGATAATTCCAGCGGATGAGCTGGTAGGATATATTGGTTCGACATGGACCACGGGTTTAGCCTTGGTGTATATTAGGACTAGAGCCAACAATTTCATTCCTTTAAGTTTACGTAGTTCACGACAATATCTATATAGTGTTTCTATCGAAATGAGACCATCAACATCCCTCAGTATTGTCTACTATGGCCTTACTTCCGCCCTGCAGGCAGCCAACTTCAACGTATCCAGAGAGTTCGCTGAGGCGAATGGCTGTGGCGACCAGTGCTACAAGTTGATACAATTGGCGAAACAGGTCGATGTCGGCTTCGTAGGGACTGACTTCGACTTCGACTTCTACGCTACGGCACACAACTTTAGCCGCAACTCCTCCATCCCTGGCGACCTGCTCAAGTTGGCACCTCTTGACCCTGCGCTACTCGACGTCAAAGCCGGAACCACTGTCTACAGGATCCAGTACGTTTCACAAGACATTGACGGCTCCTCGGTCCCTGTCACTGGATTTGTCGCGCTACCCGTTCACCCACCAAAGAACAAGACGTACCCCCTCACAGCCTTTGCCCACGGAACTGTTGGCGCGTTTCGAGGTTGTGCGCCATCTTCAGGCCCCTCCCTTTTCGACTATGATTCATGGAAGCTCCTAGTCGACCGTGGATTTGCTGTGGTGGCGACGGACTACGTCGGACTCGGGAATAACTACACCGAGCATAGATACTGCACTTTTCCGCCCAAGCCAACGACGTCTACTACTCCGTTATCGCTGCTAGGAAGGCGTTCGGCAGCGTTCTGTCCAATGAATAAATGTCGGTCGGACACTCACAGGGCGGCGGCACCGTATGGAAACTCGCAGAGACCGATCTAGTACGAAAACCAGAGGGAGGAAGGTACCTTGGCACAGTGTCTATCTCGCTAGCAGTCAGGCTTCTGGATACCGCTCAGGAATTTATGGCCAATCTAGCGCAGAATTCTAAGATGCGTACATGGGTCCTTGCTGCCGAGACGCCCTACTTGGCTCTGGCACTAAAGCGTTACCGAAACGGCGACTACAACATGTCCATCCTAGGTAAGGGCATGCTCCAGCGACTGAATATTGCCGAGCAAGGCCAGCTGTGCACAACTGGGTAGCTGGGTCTGACGATAGACTTGGATTTTGCAAACCTTTACTCCGAAGAAGGTGCAAAGGCTTCAGAGCCGCTGTACAGAGAGTTTCAAGAGGCTACGGCATCCTCGGGAGACAAGTCGCCGCATCCGCTCATGGTGGTTCAAGGATTGAAGGACACCTCGGTTTCCGTAAACGGCACTCAGGAGGCGGCTAAAAGGTCATGCAAAAACGGAAATCAGGTGCACCTGCGACTTTACGACGACTTCGATCACTCAGCTTGAGCTGCTCTCAAAATAGGACTCCGTAAGTACTAAGTAAAATTCAACAGAGTATCGAAGCACTCCTTCTGCAACCTACTCTCTCAGAGATCGACTTGACTCAAATCAAGATCATTGGGCGCCTTCACGAACTTCGGGTCCTTCGCCGCCCACCTCTTCATATCGCATTTGCAACTGCTCTTTACGCCGTTAAACCTATCCTGCATCCAATCCAGCCATTCAGCTTGGGCAGCAACAAAAAGTGAGAGTTGTCCCTCAAAAAGCATCCTAATACATATTTGCTATATCGCCGCGATTCCCGGTATCCAAGGCGTAAATTGACAACCTTCAATGTGTCTATATGCTGATTAATCTAGCTTATCAGTATTGTACCTTAGAACCAAAGTACTGGATTGCATTCTTTCAACCAGCTGACACGCGCTGCTGAGGGATAGTACCTTTCGGGTTTGTGGCGAAGCGAAACTGATTTGGGGGGCTTGGTTCACGCATATATGTGCCAATGCCATTATTGCTTTGCGAAGTGCTGATCAAGTTATTGCTTTATAGCCAACCTCATCGACATAAGTCTCGCCATCAATATCGGCCTCTTGTTTCGAACGCCATTTTATTCAGCTCTATGTACTTTCTTCGTTAAGACGAAGGGCGTTTCTTGGGACTTATTCGTTTACTCTGTCCCGAAATCAGGGAAGGCGGGATGCTGCATTCCTAGGAGCGTCTGCAGATCGATACCGGACATTAAGGCGCCCATATCGGCCGCGCTCTGATAGTTCTCTGACGAGGGATAATACAGATAGCCCATGCTGTCGGCATGTATACCATAGGTGTTCAAAATCGGGTATGTTCCAAACCCATACCACGGCGTACCATGTTCCAAAGGTGGTGAAATGTGAGAAGCCGTGGATACGAGTGTTGGGTAAGTCAATCCAATGTCTGTATTCTCTGTATTGTTGATAGGAAGCTGGTTGATGAATTGGTTCTGAGATCCCCGAGTGGCGGCCGCGCTGTGGGCGTTCACTTCCCGATGTTTGGTGATACCATCATCGTTCATGTTTCCATCGGGACTGGCCTTTCGAACGAAATCTCTAGCCATCTGGGCAAATTCGGTCATATGAGACGTTGGGAACGAGCCGCCGGACGCGTACTCGAGGAGGCTGAAATGGCCTACGGCAACGTCGAGAAGAGATAGGTTCTTTGCTGTGTCAGGATGGGTTGGGTTATGTATGACGAAATCGAAGAGAATAAAGATTGACGAAAGGGGCATGATGATGAGGATACTACACTATCAGTCAGTCAATGATACCTTATTCCCCGGAACAAGATGGCCTACAAGATAGGTGTGTGCGCCTCTACGTCAATGTACTTTATCATTTCAATCACCGCCCTAGCGGTGACCATAAGTGTGCGTTTGGCCGTTTCCCGTTGTTTCTGCAAGCGAGCGTCATGGGTACCAACGTGGAGGGTCAAGCGAGCAAGTGCAATTACCAGCGAGTGGTACCTGTAATGTGTGTAAAGAAAAGCCGTCTTGGCAGCGCTATTGATGAGTGTATACGACGTTTGAGTCGTGCATGGACGGAAGCCCACCGGAATAGATAGGCGCCATCGTTCCATGAGCTTGTTCACGTTATCGATAGCCTCGTGGTACTGCGCGGGGGGTTGCGTGCTGGCTGAGACCGAGAAAAGGGACGTATACGCTTGCGAGAGAATTCGTGCGAATCGTACCGAGGCTATCAGCCAGTCGTAGTCATTGAAGACGGCCTCTGGCGTGGGAGGGAGAGGGCAGCTGATATCACAATCCGCGATGATCTAGTGTTGAATGTTAGCTTTTTGCGCAAGGTTATAGAGGGGTTCCAGATGAACTCACTGAGCTATTGTTATTTTGAAACGACATGTTTTTTTCCAGAGCGTAAACCACCCAAAAGGTTCGATAGCATGTGTCTGCGTCGATATTATCCTTGGGGGTGGATTTGTGATAACGGAGGGCTTTTGCCATACCTGCCGCCTGCATAAGCAGAATTTCATCAATCTGTAGACAGCACGTATTAAGTGCGAAAATAGCCTAGGTGCGTCAGAAACACATCCTAATTTGCTGAATAGCAGTGGATGTAAGCGTACCATTGCTACGAGAGCCTATTGATTCACGGAATTAGTGGAAGACAATGACGAGCAATGAATGAAAATCACACCTGTAGGCTCAAAAACGGCTCTCGAGTCGCGAGAATATCGGGAAGTAAGCCCAGAGATACCTGAAACAACTCCCAGGCTTTGCCGTTTCCGGGATCAAAGGAGCTACCGCCATAGTACTGGCAACCCAGAGCAAGAACAGCGTGATATAAGGCAGAAAATGGCGGACTCTTGGCCAGAACATTGGCTAGGTTCGGGTCGGACACCTGCTTATTGAATTCTCCCTTATTGAGAAAAGGATACACGGCATGCAGATTGTCAAAGTATGCTTCAAGTTTGTTAGCGACCTCTGGTCTGGAGGTAGTCGCTATTTAAAGCAGCCGTCCAGCCATGGTGTGGCTGAGCAAAAGCCAACATAAAAGCCTGGGGAAACGGACCTTGAACATAGGTGCCTGCAATTTCCGGAGTTTCGGACCCAAGAACCGTCGGCTTCTGGAAGGTCACGACATGGGGCGGGAGTTGCTCCTTAATGGCCTGCCGATGTGATACCATTGAATCTAGTCTTTCGACTAAATCGTTCAAACGGGAACTCTTCATTCTCTCCGAGAGAGAGGCAATGCCTTGCTGAGACCAAAAGGCGAGGCTGGAGCTTGAAACTGATGACACTGTGTCAGTGATTTAATTTAATATTGACCTGAGAAGATGCAGGCTTAAGCCCACATAGTCCGGGATAATACCGTGGTACCCTGTCGTCTTCTAATATGTTAGATTGTCCTTGCATATGAGTTGGAGTAAGTGACGCGTGCCTTGAAAGCGGAAAATTCCTGGTCCAATCCAGAAATTGGGACGTTCTCTAAGATCTGGTCGATGACAAGCGGCGCCACTACAAGCTGTGACAACATCTCCGGTGCTTGGTCAACATTGCAATCAACTGCTTGCTTCGACAAAGAGTCATTATCGGTGGTTGAGGGCGGACTTCCGTCTTTATCAGGTGTCGTGCGTGCTAAGATGCGTTCTGATCAGCATACATTGCAGATTAGCGGCATAGTAGGGATAGGACCTACTGCGAAGGATGTGCAATGGGTTTCTTAGTTGACGCTTGATGTTCTTGAACTGACAAACCTCGCCGCGTTTCTGGAACCCAATAGATTTCAGCAAAAGGCACACCGCACTCCACTGATGATTGCCCGGGGTAGCGGCGATTTCGAATGCCGCATTTGCCAGTAGGAGGACTGTGGATCATGGGAGGCTCACACTGCAATGCTTGCACAGCTCCGCGTGCCCTGGGAGCACTGGCGCCGGAAAGAATAGTTGTCAGTCAACATTACTTTCATGCAGGCCACAACAAGCTGTGTCTTTGCCGGGGCCCGGCAGCTAGGTCTTCAGTGTTGACCCGACAAACGAACCTGATGACACACGCCATGGGTACCGGGCTGGGTGGGGTGGAACATACTGGTGCATCGAACTTTGCGGTTTCTGCACTGATCGCATGACTTGCATGTCTTGGGCATGCGGGATTGGTCCTCGCTGCCACTGGGCATTGTGCGTGCCGCCGCCCACCTCTGGGCGTCTTCCGAGATTTCTATTTCGTGGTTATTTTCGTCTGTAAATTAGTTCGATTGAACTTCTCCCAGTGCCGTGCGGATATCGTGTTGCAACCTGATTGAAGTCAAGCGAGGTTGGAAGAAAGGAGCTAGGTGATCGCTCCATGACCTCTTCGGCCTTCGGGGTTGGATAGACTTAAGTACTAGTACTATGCGCTATGTTGCCGAAAGGTGCCGCAGTGCTACGGGCCGGACTCCACTTCGTAAGGTCCGACGTCCTCTGCTTGTATCCTAGTAAGGGAGTCTTGGCGTCCGGGGCACTCAAAACGGTGTGCACTACCACTAGTGAGAAAACAGCACGGAGCCTCAGTATTAGCTAGTGTGGGAAGGAAGAGGTAGAGGATATGTCTTGTTTCCTGAATTCTAGCGCAGTGATCGGTGTCATTGTAGATGCTTTTGATTATGGCAGGCTCTTTGTCGCTCGTAGCATGATCTATCAAGATGTGAAAATACAGTATTCGTTGAAGGCACTAGTGACGACATCGAACTGTGCAGTATTCCAACTATATCCCAACTTCTGTGGGTTCAGTCCCTTGATCAACAATGCCAAGACGTTACTTATATTTCTTCCAAAGTCTGGACAGTGTTCATATTATATAAGAGCATTCGCGAACTAATTGCTCCTCCAAACTTCACAGCTTGGTTGCTGGAGCGAAAAACAAATGCATCTTGCCCGTGAGAGCTCCAGGAACATCCGACAGCCTATCCGACAGCCTATCCGCCTGCTCAAAGTACGACTGACAGCAGTCGGCACTCTCAAAGAGCCCTATGATATGCTCCTCGGTGACACTGTCATGTGAGATGGTGTGCGAAGCAGGGTGCGGCTTGCGGTGGTGCTCCGGGTGGCGATGTGGGCGTTGATGTTGGTCGTCGTGAGACCCGGAAGCAGGCACGTCAGAGCCATCTTGATGGCCATTGGTACTCGCGCTGTCGCTCGTGATTTATTGCTTGGCCCATTCGATGACGCGAAGCACGCCGCGGGGACGCAACCTCCCGGCTAGTCGCTTAATGGCTAGATCGATGTCGTCGACGTGGTGTATGGCCATGCAGATAGCGACTAGGTCGAAATTGCTCAACTGCTCTTGGCTCGGTGGTGGTTTGGTTGCCTCAATGGAGGATACTAGAAGGCTTCCTTAAACTACCATCATCTGGGGCTCGGAGGGATTGATTTCGGCGGCTTTGGCACGATACTTGGCCCACATTCCTTCAGCGAGGTTGACTCTAATGCATTGGGAGAACAGGTGATGAAGTGACTGTGTTGACGTAAGGACGAAAGTTGGGAAGCCGAAGACAGAATGATACTCGTAAAACAAATTATCATTTACACGTGTGACGGTTCCATTGCCGCCTGCATTGTCCATCCATTTTGGTTTTCTGTTTTCTCTATCATCGTTGGGCAGGGCGAGCCAGCCAACGTTGGATTTCAGGAATTCCAAATTTTGAGCCCATATGTCCTTGTGTGCCGCTTCCGCTGCACGGATTTTTTGAACGCGTTCTGTCAGCCTCTTCTGTTCCCTTGCATGTGTAACAAATGCCCAGTACCCACGCAATAACGACAACGGCATGACAGGAGGTACAGTACTTACTTCCAGTAACCCTGGTTCTTAAAAGCAGATGGCGCCAGTTGATCATATGTAGTGGATGATCAAGACGTGTGAGGTGGTTGGCTGGCCGAGAAGAGGCTGCAGCAGTGGTCAGCGTCTTGTCTTTATTGACGAAGGTACAAGACACGCCCGCATGTAGTATACCAGTGATATATGGGTCAAGTCGGAGACTTTTCGTCTGGCAGTTTCGTCTGGCAGCTCAAAGATGGTCTCATGAGGTCCTCGAAAATAGACAAGAAGTGACCGCGTCTAGCGCACTTGTATTCCGCATCTCGGTCAGAAGTACATGTATGCAGGACTAGGTCTCTTGGTCTCACGTCGCGCATAATTTCTGTGTTCTCGTGCTGCATCCTATAGCAATAATCATCTTCGTTCCGGTGGTTTGTTCAGGTACCTGTGGGTGGCTGTAATTGAAATTGAATTCGGCTCGAGTAGACGCCAATAAGGCGGCTTTTGTATGATATATTTACTTTCTGGGTATCAGGATGTGCTTTACTTAGTTGCCCGTATTTGATAAGCACAACTCACCAGAAACCGGCAGGCTCAATCATTAACAAACAAAGGAATCTCGTGTGAAAACAAACCCGCTGAGAATCCAAGGAGGACTCATTTCGCATCATGCCCATATCTAGGCTCTCGAGCACGGGAGTGGAACAGGTGATCCGCTGCGAAGAATCGTCTACCCCTTGATGTACGGACTTATATAGTACTTCCTTCAACCGGGGGACGTTGAGCAAGCAAGATAACAAAGCCAGCCAGTTGTTCGAGTTCTCCATGGCACCAAATTTGATGGGAAGTCGAGCATGCAACTAGCATGTCATTACGCTCAGTATCCGGTAGCACCAGTCCGTTCAAGGTCACAGTATCTAATATCTTGTGCGTTTACGGGCTGGATTTGGAAAGCTCAGCTGCAGCTTTTCTCCTGCTCGACG